AAAAAAATACTTCAACATTTGATTTGACGCTAACGTTATCAAAGTATTACTAGGCTGAAAACAGTCACTTGAGGTACATAATACAACTTGGATATCCCTGTAGACACATCACCATCGACTAACATTGGGTATTGTCAGTCTAAGGGAGTATACTTTCTTTTGACAGAATCAATACAAGTGATGAATAGACTATGGCTGAATCGTCCTCACAATACTGATTTGATTGCATGTAACCGACGTATAATCTGTCTGTATCAAGTGATAATGTGTGGGGTTCAATGTTAATAAAATGTCAATAATGCCATATTCGTGATGCCTCAGCATCTACACAATTGTATTAATTAGAACGAACTGTTTAAAAATAAAGCATTCACTGTGATGACCATGTTCAAATTGAAATTTTATACCACTTTAATTAGAAATAGCAAACACAATGCGGTGACCAAATATGATTTGCGGTAGGCGTGATGGGAATAAGTAATTTTGTCTGTGGTTTTACATTACATTGTCAAGTAATCGCTCAGCAGCGTTATTATTCAGATCCAGGAATGCACACCAGGTTTACAGGCCAGAAACTAATTGTATATTTTCCTAGGTGGTCGTTAACCCTTCACCTCAACGCCATGTATATAGTATGTAAGCCCTAACGGAAACATCTTACTCAGATGTAATGGAGCATTTTACTTTCATATCGTATGTTAAGGTATATATATATATATATTTATTCCTATATATATATGCACGTGTGTGTGTGTGTGTGTGTTTGTGTTTGTGTGTGTTTGTGTTTTCCCGGTGTACCAGTAAGGACTAGAATCCCACTGTGTCAGTGTGCCCGAGTTTAATATAGGTATTCCACCTGGGCATACTAACCTGACTCCGAGCCGACCAATCTTGGTTTTATCCCATACATGCCAAGCACCAGGAAGGGAGCCAGTACCATGTTTAAATGTCATCTGATACGCCAGCGTACTGAACCCTGACATTCCATGCAACATAATGGATAGATCCTATACATGCCGCAGACTTGTATAACTGAGGAACTTTTAAATCAAACATATTTGCAACATGGTTATGTCATTATGGTGTGATGGGGAATATTCATTTAAAAGTTCTCAAAATAACACATTTCCGAAGAACTGGTTTGCTGCATAGCTAATCACGAAATGGGAAAGTTAAGAGGAACACGTAGGACTCCAAGTAATGAGATACACAGACTGTAAGCTGATAGACCCACGGACCCTCCGGATACATTGATAAATATAAATTAGAATGGTTAAAGTTGTCAACTGACTGCCTGACTGACTGAGTTTGGTTTTACGCCGCTTTTAGCAATATTCCAGCAACATTACGGCGGGGGACACCAGAAATGGGCTTCACACATTGTACCCATGTGGAGATTCGAACCCGGGTCTTCGGCGTGACGAGCCAACGCCTTAGCCACTAGGCTACCCCACCGCCCCTAAAGTTGTCAAGGGGTATAAGACACTAGAAGTATATCCTCACTTTGCTACCATGTTTCATGGGATTAACAGTTACCGTGTTAATGAAAGCACCAAACAACAGCCACGTCATCAAACAAAATAATACATGGTGTCTTGGCTCCTCATGATTCATACCTAAGTTGGACATTTAACGCCCAGTTGGAACATTGCAGTGAGGTAACCTAGTGGTTAAGGCGCCTGCTCGTCACGCTGAAGACCCAGTTCGATTCCCCATATAGGCACAATGTATGAAGCCCGTTTCTGGTGTTCCACCGTGATATTGCTGGAATATTGCTACGAGCGGCGTAAAACAAAACTCACTCACTCTACCATTCTTACATCACAGGAAACTGTATGTGAGAATCTCTGTCACTGATAAATTCTGAAGCCTGTTTAATGGGGGGAGTATTGTATTTATATGAAATCTGATATATATGTAAATGACATATAGGTGGTGTGCTTGCTTGCTATAGTCATTGTTAGTCCTAGCCCACTGAGATAACATTGCCACATGGATACCTCTCTCATACAGTCTTCTTACTTCAACCCACCAGTTCTTATTTTATCATCTTAAAGCCGAGGGCAGGACATGAAAACAACAGGTAGTTTCTTTCATTTGGATTCGACCACCGAGCCTACATTCTCCGAGGAGACGCTGTATCCACTAGACTCTAGTTCATGAGTACGAGTTAATGACTTGTAATAAAGGACAATATAAGACAAACAGCTAAACAGGTAATTCCCGTCTCCTCACGTCTGGGGTCACGATTGACTTAGTAGGCTAAGGCGTCCCTGTTCGCTTCCCAGAGGTAGTTATGACCCTCTGATCAGGGCCCCGTTTCACAAAGTGATTGTAGCACTATACTCCCATACTTTAACATAGACTTACGAGAGTCGTAGCGCTGCGACCGCTTTGTGAAACGGGCCCCTGGTTGGTCCAGGCCGTCGTTGTACAAAACAACTTTAGGGCAACGACAGTCGTAAGTCTATGTTAAGGTATGGAAGTTACGATCACCTTAGCCCTAAGATTGCTTTGTACAACGGCACCCTGATTGTATTCCGTACTTTATCAGCATCGTCCTCATCTTTCACCACAGCGGAAAACGTCTAAGACCCGCGTCACCACGCTCTTCCTCCACATCAAGCTGGCGTGCTGATGTACGACTCTCGTAAGTCTATGTTAAGGTATGGAAGTTACGATCACCTTAGCCCTAAGATCGCTTTGTACAACGGCACCCTGATTGTATTCCGTACTTTATCAGCATCGTCCTCATCTTTCACCACAGCGGAAAACGTCTAAGACCCGCGTCACCACGCTCTTCCTCCACCTGGCGTGCTGATGTACGACTCTCGGAAAACGATCACCTTAGCCCTAAGAGACGGCACCCTGATTGTATTCCGTACTTTATCAGCATCGTCCTCATCTTTCACCACAGCAGAAAACGTCTGGACCCGCGTCAGCTCGCTCTTCCTCCACATCAAGCTGGCGTGCTGATGTAACAGATATAATAGCCAAGCATCATGAAGTCAAACTCACTCGTCCACACTTATATCCGTCAAATGAACGTTGAACAGAAAGCTGCTTCATTACTAACAAGTCATCCGAACCTGTCACTAACAGTAACTGACAATAATTACCACCTTCTTATAGATGTGTACTCAAAGGCAAAACCGTAACCGTTTGTTGCGTCCCCTTTAAAGTGCATTGGTGTTCAATTTAGCTGTCACAGTTGTTTAGAGGTGTGTATTTTTTCAAGCTCGGATTCATTACGCATTAAAACGATATCAATCCCTTATGTAAAGCAATGTACGACATGTTTTTATCATTTGCTATCAGGTCATCTATATGTATATATACTGGACAAAATAAGTTAGGGTTATTGGTATTTTTATGATTGATATTTTATCAGTGTGTCAATGAATAAATAGATCACTATTCATAATTTCAAGATTTACATATATCCCTAACTATTTTTGTCCAGTATGTTTGATCACAGTTACTTTCGCCTTTAAGCATAACCAAAATATTTAAAAAATGAAATATTCTTAAACAGACAGCATGTTCAAACATTCTGTTCTTTACAGATTATAGCATTATATCAGGCAGAGGTTGTTGAAAGTAGGACAAGCTTCACCAAACAATATGTCTCAGAGACGGAATAAAAGGTATCATCCTTTTCAAATGGTCACGGCTGATAAGCCCCCAGATTACGTGTATTTGACATTCAACCCCAGATAATAACCAAACAAAGCATCGGTGTATTTATTAACCGTCTGCACGTTGGATTCGGGTTATTTTGCAGTTTGTCAATGAAAGTTTTTGGGAGATGAGCACACAAAGACTTGACTAAGTGCAACTTCCAAGTTATGTCGCAATGCCCTCTATGAAATAGATAGTCAGGCATTCTTGATTTAAAATCGTGATTTGTTTTAAATGGATACGTGCCAGAGTCAATTTCAGGGGTGTATGTTTGTTTGGGGCGTTGGAAATACTGGGAGTGCAATTCCAACTAATATTGACATAACTTAAGCTGTATTCGCCAAGGAAAACATGCACAATCCACCGTATACTTGCAAAAATGGAGTACAAGTATTTATATAAATACGTATTATTTAAATATTTTGTTTGTTATTGTAAACGTGCACGAGAGTTCGTATCAATCAGCAACATTAATAACTAAATGTACTTATAATGTGTCACAGTCTGATGTGTGTTACGTGAACCAGGCACATGGACTAGCGAATGAATTGTTGGCACGTTTGAAGGTATAACGATTGATATACCTGGTTGGATGTTCAGATAGTCATGTTAATGAGCTGTTCGACTGTATCAGTGTCGTGAGTTAGACTCTGATTGTATTTTTGTAAGTGTGTGAAAGTATTAATGCTGATTTCCACCATTTAGACACACGACAATGGCTTATAAGTTACATGAATTTAGTTCTCGTAAAACCTTAAAATCAAGGGCCCCGTTTCACAAAGCTCTCGTAAGGCTAAGATCTCGTAACTGTTCTCGAAATGAAATGTTAGGCTGACGAGTGAGTGAGTGAGTGAGTTTGGTTTTACGCCGCTTTTAGCAATATTCCAGCAATATCACGGCGGGGGACACCAGAAATGGGCTTCACACATTGTACCCATGTGGGGATTCGAACCCGGGTCTTCGGCGTGACGAGCCAACGCTTTAACCACTAGACTACCCCACCGCCCCTTAGGCTTACGAGAGCTTTGTGAAAAGGGTCCGAGCATAATTGATTTTGTATAGTGTAGACACTCATGTAGACAAGATTGAAGGGATGTTCCAACAAATGTAGATTGATTCGTGATGTTTGCTAACTGGTTCATCATGCAACAATAAACCCTTGACCATGAATGATTGAACTGACCTAAGGGTGAACGTTGCCATAGATACGTACATAAGATTACATGGATGTGGAGATATGATTTCATTTGCATTTTATGTCTTCAATGTAAATACTTAATAGATATCTATTTAACAACTTTGTTCCCTGTTGTTTTCAGAATGGGAGGGAAATATACCCAGAAGAGAATGCAGGTAAGTAATAGTAGGACTTACTTTACAGATAACGGACATGGGACAAGAGAAATTTCTGTGTTACACTAATATATTCTCAAAATTTTGTCGGAACTACAGAGTTACATAGTTTCAAACGATATATTATCGTATTCGAGTTAACGATATCAACGTTTTCGAGTTTTGATATCAACGTAATCAAATTATTGATATCGGCGTATTAGAGTTAACAATATCATGATATTCGAATTTAGGTTATCAACGTTATTAACAATATCGACGTATATTCGGGTTATCGATATCAGAGTATTCGAGTAAAGAGTGTCACTGTAAATAAATCTGTAAATTGGTAGGCGTAGCTTTGCTGTTTGTTGTTTAACTCCGAACATGTATGACGTCAACCTGTAATTAATCGAGTCTAATCTGACCTAAAATCCCCGGATGTAAAGCAGATTAAAGGAACTGTACTGAATCAATATCGCAATAATCCCAAGACAAATAATAAAGTTAACAGGACAAAAAAATATGAAACATCCCATGTTGTCACCACGGAATATATACTACCATTTTCTACCAGCAAACAGTGTCTGTCTATATTGAACAGTCGTATAATACGGGACTATAATATGTTCTCCTAACACGTGAGGGTTTACTGTTCTATTATTATTGTTACATCACAACGTATGGTAAGGATTTACAACTTCTTTATTATGTACAACACGACGTTTCTGGGCTACTTCCTGCCCATTCATTCACCTACAGTACAGAAGTTGTAAATCCATACCATACATTGTGATGTTACCTTCCAACATCTAAATGCTCATCAAGCATCTATTATTATTGTCTTATAAGAATATACCAAGGATTATGCTTTGTATTGTTTCATACTGTTAGGATTGTTATCAATATGATTTGTTGTACAACATTTTGTGTCATTTCGTGAAACATGTAAGAGTGCCTCTCAGTAAGCATGGAGCGTTCATTGGTATGCACACATTAACATGGGTTAGCATTGATATGCACACAGTAACATTCCTTCATTGGCATGAAGAGTTCATTGGTATGCACACAGTGACATGCACACATTGAGCATGAAGTAGTTCATGCCAGTAACATGCCAGCAGTGAGCATGAAGAGTTCATTGGTATGCACACAGTAACATGGCTAGCAGTGAGCATGAAGAGTTCATTGGTATGCACACAGTAACATGGCTCTCAGTGAGCATGAAGAGTTCATTGGTATGCACACAGTAACATGGCTCTCAGTGAGCATGAAGAGTTCATTGGTATGCACACAGTAACATGGCTCTCAGTGAGCATGAAGAGTTCATTGGTATGCACACAGTAACATGGCTCTCAGTGAGCATGAAGAGTTCATTGGTATGCACACAGTAACATGCCTAGCAGTGAGCATGAAGAGTTCATTGGTATGCACACAGTAACATGGCTCTCAGTGAGCATGAAGAGTTCATTGGTATGCACACAGTAACATGGCTCTCAGTGAGCATGAAGCGTTTATTGGTATGCACACAGTAACATGCCTAGCAGTGAGCATGAAGCGTTCATTGGTATGCACACAGTAACATGCCCTCAGTGAGCATGAAGCGTTCATTGGTATGAACACAGTAACATGCATTCATCTGTACTCTTGTGAACATATCTACCATTGGCTTAATGTTTTCAATGATATATTTTCAGATATTGATTCTGTGTTTCTGTCCGAGGGAGACATTGTGGTTGACTTGGTAAGTCCCAATAGTAAATGTTCACATACAAACCGTCGTGTCATTTCAAACCTACATTATACGTTAATGTATACATAAAACAGATATCTGTAACATCATGAAGTCCAATACATATACACTTCGACGCATGAAAAAATATACGACGATTTATTGTTTACGTAATTTTTTAATTGTTTTGATACGACTTTTTAATATTCACAAAAAGCTTCTAGTATGATTAGTATCGATTGAAAACGCTTCTAGTATGATTGGTATCGATTGAAAAAGCTTCTAGTATGATTAATAACGACTATTCGCCTCAAACTCGTCACCAACCCTATCTGTCACTTGTTGCTAAACTGATGTTCACGTGTTTGTTGGATCTCGGAAGGTGAATGACATGTTTGGGATGGTACGGAAAAGAAGACAACCTAAGGTGCTATTCTGTAAGACTGGCCTGTAGTGTCTCTCTTGTCCTGCACGTCACGTGACATTCAGCATCAAATCAGCTTGTTTTATTTGTAGTAAACATGTCTTTTTTTGTTTTCTGTTGACCCAGCATGTTTACTTTCAAATGGTCATCTACAGTAAACAAAATTAACCTTAAGGCATGTCTAGATTTATTACCTTCTGAAAATATACTACCCAAACGAAGTAAAGAGAACCCTATTGTTTCAAATTAGTAGCGTTCAACAGATATGGTCGAACAGTCATCGGCAAAATCGGGTTTCCTTTTTCTGTGTGGTTTAACTCGTCATTATTTCATCAATCAGAATAGAACGTTTTTAATTGAGTATTCGGAACACATATTATATATGTGTAAACTGATCATCCATGTGTTGATTACAACTGGTCTGGAAATAGTAAAGGTAGTCTGTGTTGCTCCCATTCTTGTGTTAGCATTCCCGTGTACACCTCCTGTTTCAATCTTGCATGGAATCTACATGCCACACAGAACGTCCGTGTTCCTAGCATTTCCCTTTGTGTTTTACGTCCGTAACCTTGATCTGGAATGTTTTGTGCGTTCTGTTTCTGTGTCGTGCACATGTGCATGTTTCGAATTTTCTGTTTCAACACGATGCACTTGAAATTGGTTTTGGTCCAGATATACATCCCCTTCCAATCAAGAGCCCATTAAGTCAATCCATTTCTACTCAGGTGGAATTTATTACTCTGGTAGTAGTGGAACATCGCCGAGCAGCGCTGAAAGCAACGCTATGTGAGTGATGTTTGCAGTAGCAGATGGAATCGCGATATATGATATTCCTGGAAACGTCTCTCATGAATGGAGCATGGTTTACTGAGGAAAGGCGTTTTTTACCCGAAATGTCAGACCGACCTTGAACCGCGTTAACAACCTTATTACCATTGTATATGTCGGTTTCTACAGACAGTCTGACTATTAAGATGTCGGTATAGCCAGAGTTCGCTGTGTATCACACTCTGCCTACGAACATTCTATTGGAGGTTCTTGAGTACGTTTCAGACATATGTCTGTGGTTAATGACAGTGGTGATTTCTTAAGGAAAGTTAATTACGTTTAACTGTGCAATAGTTCCACTTATGTGCGGAAGATATAAAACAAAATATCTTAAGTGGCATGTCCTACTTTCAATGTACCTCTTTCAACATTCTTTGTAAATCACGGAAAAACAAGATTAATTTCTTATTCTTTGTCGAATCAGCACGTTAATGTAAATTAACACTTAACAGAATGATTATCAGAAAACAACCCAAGCATGCGCAGAATTAACCAACCCGCATCCATTTAGAAATAGAAAAGCATTTTAATGAATGAAGTTTGAAATCATGGCTAAATAAATCGTAAATTTATTATTACTTCTATTTAAATATTTTTTTAAAACTAAGTGAAATGTAAGTTTGATCACATGATCCTTAAAACGCTATACGCTTTTATATGGCTTCTACCGATATATATTCTGATATATCAACCAATCGAAACGCGGCCAATTGTCTCCCCATTGTCACAAACATTCTGCGCGAGTTATGATAAAACGCCACCTTTAACATGTATACCGTTATCCATTGACAGAGACGCAATGCTGTGAGAGATTTGTACGGAACATGGCTCAACAGAACAGTTCCTTATGAAATACAGAGTTCCTATGGTAAGTGCATGTGTACCAAGAAGGAGATGCAGAAATCTAGGCTGTTTCACGCCTTCACACCCTCAGCTTTAAATATCAGGAGGTGCATCGTAGTGCTCTTTTCAGGTTATCCAGTCTTCAATTACACTCTGGCCCGCACTTCGGTTGTGGGTGTTACATATTTCTACTTCCTTGCTTTAATCTCTGTCGCTTTTATATAATACGAAAATACAAACATGAGGTAAACGCGTAGGGTCTGGTTGTCTCGATGTTAAATCATAGGGATGTATACCTTACATTATCAGTTTTTTGACCAAACAATCTTCCAGTTACCAGTGCCATGTTGGTAGTTTTTGTTATTTAATGTCCAACACAGCAATGTTCCAGCTATATGGCGGCGGTCTGGAAGTAATCGAGTCTGGATCAGACAATCCTGTGACTGACATCATAAGCATCGATCTATGCAATTGGTATGTGAAGTCCTACATCCATTAAGTCAACGAGCCTCACCACCCGATTCCGTTAGTTGCCTTTTACGACAAGCATGGGTTGGTGAAGACCAACACTGACCAGGACGTTCACGGAAACAGTGGGATCACGTAAACTACCATCATAATCATTGTCATTTCAGATGATCAACAACGCCGTGAAATGCGAATGGCCATGGAGGAATTCGAGCAAAAAACGTGTGTCCGGTTCCGACCCCGGACTATCGAGCCTGATTACATTCGAATTCTGCCCGATGGGGGGTAAAATCTTTGTTTCTACATCGCTCTACGTTATACTGAATCTTTTGTCAGCCAAATGTCCCCCAAAATCGACAGTGTCGAGAAGTCCCGGGTGCCTTAAATTCATATTCATTACGTAAATCTTATTTTATGAATGGCATTAGGTTTTTGTGATTTGCTTGACTTTTTGATAAATTGGTATTATAAGTGGATCGCTGTTACATAATGTTTTATAACATCAATTCGTTTTTATGTGTACAGTGTTTTAAAGCACAGAGATATATACTCGTGGCATCATAAATTATGGAATTCCTGTATTATGAATGACATAACAATGAATACAATGAATACCAGTGTACTTGTTGTCATTTCCATGTACAGATTTTTATTTTAGTACAGATGATGGCGTGGTAACTTTATCGAAAATATAGTAACTTAATAGTTGAAAACAAACGAAAGGAAACAAATGCCCGAAGCCTATTCTAACACATTATTCATGAGCTTAGGAGCATCTGTTCAGTCATGCAATAGTCATATCTAGCAGAAGCACTACAATTCAGGGTATGGGGAGGTTTGAGCAGTTTTGTTTCACCCAATTTCTACTATCATGTCTGATTATTTGATCTGTTTCCTACATACAGCTGCTCCAGTTCAGTGGGTCGGAAGGGCGGGAAGCAGAAGGTGTCTATCGACTCCAACTGTGACAACAAGGGCACCATCATGCACGAGCTGATGCACGCTCTTGGGTTCTGGCACGAGCATAGCCGACCTGATAGAGACCACTATATCACCATCATGTGGGATAACATAGCTAAAGGTGAGCAAAGTCGACCTGATAGAGACCACTATATCACCATCATGTGGGATAACATAGCTAAAGGTGAGCATAGTCGACCTGGCAGAGATCACTATATCACCATCATGTGGGATACCATAGCTAAAGGTGAGCATAGTCGACCTGATAGAGATCACTATATCACCATCATGTGGGATAACATAGCTAAAGGTGAGCATAGAGGACCTGATAGAGATCACTATATCACCATCATGTGGGATACCATAGCTAAAGGTGAGCATAGAGAATGTGGGAGGACCTGATAGAGACCAATCACCATCATGTGGGATAACATAGCTAAAGGTGAGCATAGATGACACCATCATGTGGGATAACATAGTTAAAGGTAGGACCTGATAGAGATCTCTATATCACCATCATGTCGACATAGCTAAAGGTGAATAGAGTGAGATCACTATATCACCATCATGTGGGATAACATAGCTAAAGGTGAGCATAGTCGACCTGATAGAGATCACTATATCACCATCATGTGGGATAACATAGCTAAAGGTGAACATAGTCGACCTGATAGAGATCACTATATCACCATCATGTGGGATACCATAGCTAAAGGTGAGCATAGAGGACCTGATAGAGATCACTATATCACCATCATGTGGGAAAGCAAATAATGTAAGGAAGCCACACCCTTGACAATATTACGTTACATATTAAATCTTTGAAGGACATTTAGAAGTGGAATACATAAGAAAAACGAGATTATGGATGTCAACTTCTTTATTGTGAATAACACACAAGAAAGAAGTTATTCACAATAAAGACGTTGACATCCATAACTCTTGCTTTTCTCACGTTACATATTGTTATCCTTAAACTGTACCCTAAATGTTACTCTCGTTTCCTTTACTGCACCTTGTTATGTGCCTCTATGTTAAACATTAAAGGTGACGTTTAACCACCCCTTTTCCCCTAAGCTTCATGCATGATAAGCTAATTATTGGAGGACACGATTCCTGATAACGTAGTGGGTCTTCTTGTGTTGGCTTGTACAAGGTTAGATCCGAGTTCGATTATATTAATTGCCGCAATATCTGAAGTCAATTACCACTGTTTACACGATACATATATTTATAACGCATGAAGTGTATAAGATTCATAACGATTTCCAGAACACGAGGACAACTTCAAGTCTTACTCCTCCGACGACATCGACACCCTCGGAGCCCCCTACGACTACGGCTCCATCATGCACTACCGCAACAACACCTTCGCTTTGGATAGGTCCAAGCCGACCATTCTCTCCAAATTCCCGCTACCTAGAGGTGTGGTCATGGGTCAGCGAGAGCACCTGTCTGACATCGATATTGTCAAGATCAACAGGCTGTACAGATGTAGTGAGTATACAAGTGTATTCCCAACATCACAGCGGAAAGGACTGTGAACTTTGGTGATAGAAATGTGTGGTCGATGGTACTTCAGACAGAAGAGGCTCTTGGGTCAGAAACAAGAAGTAATGCGCTATTGTGATCACCGCCAAAGTGTAATGTAAACTAACGACCTTGGGTAAAGTAAATAGAAAGATGACTAAATAGTGAATAGAAATAAATTCATATAGTTGTCAACTTTGTTTTTCGTTTTACGCTCAATTGCACGTTTTACAGCATGAGCATTGATCTACGCAATTGGGAACCGATGACATGTGTCAACCAAGTCAGTCGAGCCTCACCACCCGATCCCGTTAGTCGCCTCTCACCACAGGCATGGGTTGCTGAAGACCTATTCTAACCCGGATTTTCAGGGGTCGATTGTTTACTGTTGACGTATTCGATAGTATATGCACATAAACGAACACAATAGTATCATATCAAATGTGAACAAAGCAGCTGAAGAGAGATTATTATAGGGCGCCGGAATGTCACGTTGTACTCTGTTTCCAATATTAAATTTCTTCGAAATAAATACTTCATAAATTCATTTTTTTATGATGTGAGATATCTTCAACTACTGGTGTCCACTCCCCAGATATAACTCACTGCCCCGACGCGGGCATCCCCAAGAATGGCGTCCGAGTTGGCGACGACTTCAAGGTGTCGAAGACGGTGAAGTACAAGTGTCAAACTGGCTATTCTCTGGTGGGAAGTAACGCACGGTTCTGCATGGACCTCGGGGACTGGACTGGCAACTTCCCAGTCTGTCTGCGTGAGTAGAAGCTGTGTGTGGCATCCTGGTGTTAGAGAACCTCCAACTACTGGAGTTTCTGGCCAGTCTCCCTTTATGCCATAACACCGTATGTCACTCTGAATTCATTTTGAACACCTTCAGATCATTTACCATTTGTTAATTGGACAGCAGGTGACAAACCGAGTTCGAATGCTTTTTTCAATCATTGTTACCCAACAATGTAAAATATCAGGTACGTTTGGTCCTCTAGTTACCTACATATGTTAACATTACCTCTCCACTTACAGTGACTAGTCAGGGTAGTGGGATAGTCTAGTTGTTGCAGCCTTGGCTCCTCACTCAGACTAATCAGGTTCGAATCCGAACACTAGAGTACAGTATGTAACTCATTGGTGTGCTGCCCTGTTTAATGGCTGACACCTGTTAATGGCGGCTTTAAGCCTGACTCACTCACACATGACGTAACGTCGTTACCTGGACAATGTGCCATCGTTTTCAGCCTCGTACAAAGGAGGTTACCTTCACTACTGCAACTTTGACCAGGGGAACCTGTGTGGCTGGAAGCAGGACTACACTGACGAGCAGAACTGGACCCTCCACAACCGCAGCACGCCGTCAGACTCTACCGGACCCAAGGCAGACCACACTATGGGGACGTCAGAAGGTAGGGCCTCGTTATCAGCCTTGACACTTCCTACTAATCTGTGATGCACTGATTACAAACATTATCGTGTGGTATGTTAATGTATCTGCTATAGTCTTCGAGGCGTTGTTTAAATATATTCGACCCAATTTTTACAATTGGATTTATTTTTATTGTTGTTAGTGTTGCCTTTGAAGCCATTATCTTATGATGTCTTTAACACTATGTGATAGGGTCATTCTTGGAATTTCATATTTGTATGTCAACACTAAATATATCTCATGGCTCTGTATGTGGTATTTGTATATCATTGTTATATGTACCTCATGGTACTGTACCGGATATGTGTGTATCATTGCTGTCACAATGTTAACACTCTGAAACACTTCTTACCTACATCTCTTCAGGTTACTACATCTACCTTGAGAGCTCTACACCATGCAAGGAGGGCGATCGCGCCAGGCTTATCTCCCCTACTTTCAGCTACCTGGGAACCAAGGCATGTCTTGCGTAAGTGTGTGAGAGAAAACATATTTCATTGCTACAGTTTATGATTTTACAATATATTCAGATATTGCATCACATGAACACTATGCAATTATATGGTCATTGAGAGAGAATGAGTCAGTGAGTTAGTATTTAACGTCATCTCAGCCATATCGCATTGAGAGAGAGGGGCGGTGGGGTAGCCTAGTGGTTAAAGCGTTCGCTCGTCACGCCGAAGACTCGGGTACAATGTGTGAAGCCCATTCTGGTGTCCCCCGTCGTGATATAGCTGAAATATGGTTAAAAGCGGCGTAAAACTGAACTCACTCACTCACTCACTCATTGAGAGAGAAACTGAAAAGTAATTGCATAGCTTTATTCATAAATTGATGTCCACATACACATATTGTAAATGATTTAGTTACATAATTAAACATGTATACAAACGCACGTCCCACCCAAGGCCTGGGTAACATGTATCCTTGAAACTTGAGATAATGCTTTGATATCAAGTAAGAAAAGAGGTTTTTAGTATAGGAGATCCCAGCTCAACAGCAATACAAGTACATCAGTGGTTAAGAGAACAAGTAGCCCAGATCCACATGTACCCACATAGTTAGGCTCATAAAGTCAATAAGTAACTAGAATACAGAAACATATGTATGTGCTAGATAGTTGGTATGAACAATTGCAGAGACCTATTTCATTATCGGCATTCTCAGACTTTGTTCGAATTTAATATTTTCCTGACTTTTCTTTGCTGCTTGTAAAACTGTCGCCGTCATATGAATAGCCAGTGATTTTATAAGCGGTATTGATACTTTTAAATATATTGTTTATAGTTTGAACAGCTTTGATTCCATCCACGAAATAAGAACGTGAGGATGTTGTGAATACATATTTTGTAGAAAGATTTCCTAAGAGTTTTACCAGTGTTATCATGCCGCAAGTGGCGAAGGAAATACAACCTCTGTTATAGATTAGATCTGTATTTGCATTACAAGTAAGTTTACGGCTTTGACTACTATGTTGTGCTGGGAGTCCGGCCTACTGATACAAACTTGATAAAAATACTATAATTCATCTGCTACATTATCAAATTAGACTTTTAGTTCGTGCAATTGGAAATGTCGCAGGTCCCATGTTTATAGTTTCGCATACGATTGTTCAAATTTCATTGATTTGGAGCTTATACGAAAATATCATCACTGAGTGAAACATCAAATTAGGTTTATCAGAGTGAGGGTGGCCTCATATTAACTTCATCAAATAACGCAACGAATACAACCGTCGTTCTCGGTATTGAGATATATATATATATATATATATATTTATATATATTGTATTTGTGACAGGTTTCACTACCACATGTACGGCAAGACTATGGGGACGCTGAACGTCTATCAGAGAGTCGGCGGCAAGAACGTACCCAAGTTTTCCCTGTCTGACAACCACGGAACCAGCTGGCACATGGCGGTCTTCGTCCTGGACGACTCAAGCAGCTTCCAGGTACACTGCAGCATACTGAGTGGACATGTACCCAAATATACAAACTCAGCATTAAGGCTAAAAAGTCTGCCCATTGTGCCTGTCATCTGGCGTTTCATATATACATCCATATAACACACAAACGCACGCGCACACACATACCAAAAACCAACAACACACCAAAACGCACACACACAAAACGCACACAGACAGACAATCTCCCAATCTAGTACAATAAATCTACTAGAATATACTTAGTATTGTAGTTTGCGCTTCAACTCGGCATTGCAATATCTATACTGAGGGTAATGGGTATATGTGTATTTTAGATTTCAATATGCAGGAATGACAAACGTACGTTCTTGTAACAAAACACAATGTATCTCGAGTTGTAGAAGTTGATTTAGAGTTTTACACAGATCTTGATTTAATCCAGTATATCAAACCGAAACATGAATCTCATTAACCTATTCAGACAATGACCTACTTTTCAGCCGATCCGAATTTTCTCGTGTGAAAGTGAAAATAGACATCACAAACAACTATGGTTACACTGAATTCCAATTTCTTGTTTCATAAGAAAATGGTATTTACAAATGAATTTTAATTTTAAACTTTAATAACATCGTATTTCTATATTTTATGGTGAGGTGTAGGCAGCATGACCTTAACTAAGACGTCACAGACTGCCCCTGTTTGATGAGGTCGTAAAATGATTCACAATGCATCTGGCACACTGGTTACACCTGTTATGTGTGTTTTTTGCGCTTATTCAGTGTAGTTCTGTAAAGCACAATGTGATTGATATAATACCAAGTCCGTACCAGACCGCCAAACTTTTCTAGCGGGAGAGCCTCGTTTTGAGATTTTCACGATTTCCAGGTTTCCGTTTATCAGAGCTCGCTGTACGACAGAGCAGGCTGCACGATGTGTTTGCAAGGATTAGAAGGGGCGTAGTGTTGCACTATACAAATTCTTAGATGTATCAAATAATACTAATTAATAATTATGTATCCAGTTAAATGAATTGGTCCCAAAATTCTGGACTGGTTATTGTACTAAGTTCCGCAATAGAACGGGAGCCAGTCAACAGGAAACGAGACTATTGTGTAATCCATGTTTTGATTTGACTGTATATCTCATTGTAAGCATGAGCAATTCCAACCCATGTCTGCGCGATAATCAGCTATGCATCCCATCACCTGTTGAACAAGGCCTAATACGCGTATGACTATAAAAACTAGAAACAAAAACAACGAATGAAAAACACTTTGTATCATCGAGGTTCGGTCTGAAACTGTTGTATATATTTCATAAGCTGGTGATCGAGGCGGTGGCCGGAAGCAGCTTCAAGAGCGACATGGCCGTCGACGACATCGTTGTTGGATCCTGCGACAGCCTATCAACACTTGTCAACGGTACTGGTACCCATATAGACATGTCGATCTTCACTCGGCTACAGTAACTGTTATGCACTATAATATATATTCATACTACTCAAAGGTTGCTAGGAACATGAACAAAAGGAATCATTTGTCGGGCAGTCAAAGGGAAATACCAATAAAAGGTGTTCAAGTTTCAGTGTATATATGAATGTATACCTATGTATTTGTGGGAATCAGATCTGAGGCATGATGTATGGTCATGAACGTAATACAAAGATGTATACATCAACATTGAAGCTATAAAACACTCAAATGAACGTGTGAGTGAGGGTGTTAGGTTTGGCGCTGTTTTGAACCAAACATTCAGCTACATCACAGCGTGTGAGGTTGATGTGGTAATAAAGTAGATCATGGACGTTTTCTACTTTGATGAAACCAAGAGTTGCGGTCCTGACAAATCTGGAAACATAATTATGGGAAAACCAAGACTCGTACCAACGGTCATAGGTTTCTGGATCCTTAATGGACTCGACGCAACTCGCAACCTAATATGATTTGGACACTGGTGCTCTCTAAGTCGTCCGTTACCAAGAGGTCCCAAGAAAGAAAGTCAGGAGAACGAATCACAAAAAGAACACGAGAAGCATCCAATCACAATCTTTCAGTAAGAAGCCATATTTATACTATGTGTGTATCGTACCACGGACACGAGATCACATGACAGTCAGATCTTGTATACTTCCTCAACGTGTAAAACAAAGTGCAAGAGGCTGCTATAGATCTGATTCCCACACTGACATACAACCAGTATCATTGGAACCAACACTGAAGTGACCATTTGCTGTTAAATATACACGTCAACCTTTCAGAATGGTATACTGTCGACTGTTTCAGGTGCTTTGAGCGTTGCATCTGTAAGAATGTGCTTAGCAATCTTTGAGTAGTATATAATGCTGAAATGTTCTTAGTACTAATGCAGCTTGTACAGCACATGTTTTCAGTTTTGCCGCTTTATATGAGATAACGTTAATATAAACTATATTATTAACCATACAACATGGGTGTGCCAGTGCAAATTAAAACTAATGTCCCAATCAACAACTGTGGTTTACAAGCAGTGTTAATGTCAGCCGTTATGTTTGCGACATGAAGGAAGGTTCTGCACGCATACAACATGGACAACCCTTTAACTCGAAATCAGATATACCGAATATATAAGTATATCTTTATGATAATGTGATATTGAGATAGGTTTCATGTATGCCTGTGTGGTCTTTATTTCATGTCATATCACACATATATAAGCATAATTGAGACATGACGATGCTCAAGTGTATTGTATTTAGTTAAAGTCAGCTACCCGCAGCCAAACTGTGATAGCACATAGTCCAGGGTGCTTTGTTTTTAACGTACACATATTCACGTAACAGATATTCACAAAACCGTGCATAATATGCAAATGCTTCTATTTTTAATACCTCTCTGTTCCCTGTGATTTGCATATGACATAATAAATACTTGCGAATAACTCGTTATGTCGTTGTTCTAAGCAACATGGCCGTACTACTGATATTTGTTTCCATCAGGAAGTTCTCATGTCTTTCCTGATCTGATGATACACCTGGTGTATTGGCCATAACATATACGATCAAGAATTGGATAACGTCTTTATAATACATTAATGGAATATCTTTGTGTCATGTTTAACTGGTTCAAACTCAGGAAATAGATCCGATACTCGACAACAGACAACGTATGACACTGCACGCGTGGTACACGTGACCTGAGGCTAGTTTCCCGCCATAATGCACACATGGAGGTATGAGGAACTGATACTCCTCATACGACTTCGAGGTCAATACGAAACTGTTTAACATTGTCGAGGTAATATCCCCATCGTTCTTAAGATTAGGAGGAAACAGTTACTTGGATGGTTCCAGATATTAACTATCTTGTGGAATAGTTAAGGGTTGTAGATAATGGCCGATATGCCACTCACACTGGTAGGGAACTTGGTCACTTGGTTTGTGATTTTTGCGACAGAAATTTTGCGATATGTCACAGTGTCTTTGTGATTTTAGCATCAGCAAGGGAAGGGTAAGGTACGGTGAATGGCCTGTATGCCTACAAAATGAATATTACAAGAGAGTTGAATTCACATTTACTGACATTAGGTTTCCATTAGTAACAAGTAAATATTATGATGTTCAGAAAGCGAATGATAATCATGTAAAACCACTAATTGGCACGAAATTAAACATTTGTGATAAATAATCGGTATTATGTGACAAATGACCCCATAAAGAAGTGTAAAAATAATACAATGTGTTCCGATTATGTGTTTATCCCCTTTCATCATAAAGCATGTGCTGTTTTATCAGCGAAAAAAGCTTACATATCAGTTTCCATGCATTGGTCTTATGTCACAGAAACTTTGTGATTACGAAATTGATGTAACGGAAAATTCACTCATTGTCACAGGTAATTCCCAATCACAAAATGAAGTAAATGGGGTATGATTCGTCCAATCTGGACAGTGAATCGGATTTGGATGTGTCTTTGAACATATCTGAAACATCACCGTCATTGAAACATTACCATGGTCCTCAAGGAGCCCCGACATGATCCCCATCAAACATTATGGGGACTGTCTTGGACGCCAAGTTTGAACTAGAGATCCTCCTGTTAAAATCTGCAGGATTTGACGCAGTCATTCTATGATGAATGACAAAGGATTCCAATGCTGAGAATTCCACGCTTGATTGGCAGTATGAGGAGGAGACTGGCAGTATGAGGAGGAGACTGGCAGTATGAGGAGGAGACTGGCAGTATGAGGAGGAGACTGGCAGTATGAGGAGGAGACTGGCAGTATGAGGAGGAGACTGGCAGATGTTGTCTGTGTGAGGGGTGGAGACACCAGGTGTTGACTTGATCACCGATTCACTGTCCAGATTGGACGAATCATACCCCGTCTCCTTCATTTTGTGATTGGGAATTACCTGTGACAATAAGTGAAATTTCCGTTACATCAATTTCGTAATCACATAGTTTCTGTGACATAAGATCAATGCATGGAAACTGATATGTACGCTTTTTTTCATTTGTTACTGATGGAGACCTAATGTAAGTACATGTGAATTCAAATCTCTTGTAATATTCATTTTATAGGCATACAGGCCATTTACCGTACCTTACCCTTCCCTTGCTGATGCTAAAATCACAAAGACTCTGTGACATATCGCAAAGTTTCCGTCGCAAAAATCACAAAGACTCCACTCTCACTGTGACCAAGTTCCCTACCAGTGACTCAGAGAATTCGGAAACTGTGACAGTGCCGTGGTTGATGCATTTGAATACGGAACTTTCTGATGCCAGTACAGCAACAGCTGGCCAGTATCCTGTCTGCTCTAAATGTCCTTACATCGACCACAGTTGGAAATATAGGACAAGTTGATGATGACGTCGAGTATATTTTTTCGGTCACTTCGTGAAACGGGTCTTGTGTGCAACAACCCCACCCCAACACCACACCTGCAGCACACGTGTTTTGGTACTTGCATATGTACATATATACATGTGTACACGTATATCTCATCACCACACTCAGAAAACACAACCACCTGATAGTAGGACTTTTATTAGATCAGTATTGTTTGTGGAAGACGTAGCCTACATACATGTTGTCACTATTTACAATATATAGAATACTAATATGTGGTTTCAACTATCTCATTAACAGTACTTAAATATGAAGATCAATATAAAGGGAAAACAGTTTTCATCCTATTCCAAATGCTAGGAGCAAATATAGTGAACTGACGTACCGGCTTAACTCACCATACGATAGCTTCCCCCCATTTCATTTGCGATCATTAACATCTCTGAAACGACGTCAATGTTGCAGCTGCTACCCCAGAGACGATGTCGTGCGACTTCAACAGCGACACTTGTGGTTGGATACAGGCTAAGGACGACGTCTTTGACTGGACACTAGAGAAGGATTCCACCTCTACATTCAACACCGGCCCCGACTGTGACCCCACGAACTGTGCCAACGGTGAGACAACTATAACGATTGGTCACATCCAAGCTGTGTTATTGATTATACTCGTTGTCATTGAAGTCGTCGGTGTGTAGGGAACGCACACAACGTATAACTTACGGTATCAAAAAATAGGGTATAGGTAAGTCCCATACACATCTCAAAAAGAGCAACGTGTGAATGGGGTATCAATGCACTTTCAATTCACACGCATTTCTCACAGAGAGCAACATGTGAATGGGGTATCAATACAATTTGAAGTCCCACACATTTCTCAACAACAAGTGAATAGGGTATCAATTACTCTTTGAAGTCCCACACATTTCTCACAGAGAGCAACAAGTGAATAGGGTATCAATTACACTTTCAATTCACACGCATTCTCACAGAGCAACAAGTGAATAGGGTATCAATGCACTTTGAAGTCCCACACATTTCTCACAGAGAGCAACAAGTGAATAGGGTATCCATTAAACTTTCAATTTACACGCATTTCTCACAGAGAGCAACAAGTGAATAGGGTATCAATTGCACTTTCAAGTCCAGCACATTTCTCACAGAGAGCAACACGTGAGTAGGGTATCAATGCACTTTCAAGTCACGCGAATTTCTCACAAAGAGCAACATGTGAATAGGGCATCAATGCTCTTTCAATTCACAAGCATTTCTCACAGGGACAAAAAGTGAATAGGGTATCAGTGCACTTTCAAGTCACACACATTTCTCACAGAGAGCAACAAGAGAATAGGGTATCAATGCACTTTCAAGTCACAAGCATTTCTCACAGAGAGCAACAAGTGAATAGGGTACCAATGCACTTTCAAGTCACACACATTTCTCACAGAGAGCAACAAGTGAATAGGGTATCAATGCACTTTCAAGTCACACACATTTCTCACAGAGATGCACTTTCAAGCAACAAGTGAATTGGGTATCAATGCACATTCAAGTCACACACATTTCTCACAGAGAGCAACAAGTGAATAGGGTATCAATGCACTTTCAAGTCACACGCATTTCTCACAGAGAGCAACATGTGAATAGGGTATCAATGCTCTTTCAGTTCACAAGCATTTCTCACAGAGAGCAACATGTGAATAGGGTACCAATACACCATCATGTCACATGCAGATTACAAAGAGCAACACGTGAATGTGAATACATGACACGTTTTTATGGATACGAATGTTCAAGAACATGTGAATAGACTATAATACATATTTATGTCACATAGATATCTCGCAGAAAGCAACAAGTGAATAAGGTATCAAAACACTTTCCAGTTACACACAGATAATAAAGAGCAACATGTGAATAGGATATCAATACACTATTTTTCGCAGAGAGCAACACTTCCATGTTACACTCAGATCACTGTGTGTAACAGATCACAGAGAGCAACATGTGTTTAGTGTATAAAACACTTTCACGTTACACTCAAATGACAGAGCTAAACATGTGTTAAACACTTTCACAGATGACAGAGAGCAACATGTGTATAGTGTATAAAACACTTTCACGTTACACTCAGATCACAGAGAGCAACATGTGTATAGTGTATAAAACACTTTCACGTTACACTCAGATGACACAGAGAGCAACATGTGTATAGTGTATAAAACACTTTCACGTTACACTCAGATCACAGAGAGCAACATGTGTATAGTGTGTAAAACACTTTCACGTTACACTCAGATCACAGAGAGCAACATGTGTATAGTGTGTTAAACACTTTCACGTTACACTCAGATCACAGAGAGCAACATGTGTATAGTGTATAAAACACTTTCACGTTACACTCAGATCACAGAGAGCAACATGTGTATAGTGTATAAAACACTTTCACGTTACACTCAAATCACAGAGAGCAACATGTGTATAGTGTATAAAACACTTTCACGTTACACTCAGATCACAGAGAGCAACATGTGTATAGTGTATAAAACACTTTCACGTTACACTCAGATCACAGAGAGCAACATGTGTAAAGTGTATAAAACACTTTCACGTTACACTCAGATCACAGAGAGCAACATGTGTGTATAAACACTTTCACGTTACACTCAAATGACAGAGAGCAACATGTGTATAGTGTGTAAAACACTTTCACGTTACACTCAAATCACAGAGAGCAACACGTGAATGGGCATCAATGCACAGAGAGCAGTATGTGAATAGGGTACCAATAAGCATTCAAGTAACATATTATCATAGAGCAGAATCTGAAAATGGTATCAACTTACTTATATGTAATCAAAACATTAAACACTATGTGCAGTGTGTTGACAGATACAAAAAGTTGATGAAATCCGGTGCATTATGGATACACGCCAGAATTGATAAAATGCACTCAAAAGTATGTGAATTCCTGCCGTTGTAATCATTATGTACTACTATTAGTGTTCTGTTAAACTATCCAATCAGTATACATGTATCTTCATATGATACAAACATTTTGTTCTAATCACAGGCACTTATCTGTACACGGAGTCATCCAGCCCAAGGAAGCCCGGCGATACAGCCAGAATAGCCACACCTGTCTTAAAGGTATTCACAGTCTAAGATTATAATTGCAATCTTCAACTTCAATTTGCATCGTTTAATTTGTAAAAGACATTTATGAGGATATTTTAAACATTAATCAGCCTTGTGAGTTGTGCCACGTCTGAAGTCTGTGTTTAAGTCTCCACGTGGGTACAGTAATTGATGGCCTACTTGGACGTTACATCTGTACTATGTCAATAAATATGTTCTCTAATCCAGGACGTGTGTGTTTCAGTAAGTCATGCTGTGTTCTTACGTCTGTGTTTATTGTACAAGCAGGGAGGTGGACCAAGATGTCTGTCGTTTTCGTACCACATGTTTGGGAACTCCATGGGAACGCTCCGAGTGTTTAATGCAGAGCTGGGAGCAGTACCTCAGCTTCTGTGGGTGAGATCTGGTGACCATGGAAACCAGTGGCATCGAGAACAGATCGACCTTGTCCCAAAGTCACCATTTCAGGTTGGTAAAGCAAGAGTGAGAGAATCTATATCAGTAATTCAGTAACCCCTTTATTGTGTGTACCAACGTGTTGTAATCCGGTTATGGTAAAATAGACACAACATGGATAAAGTAGATCCAGTTATACTGGAGATGTGACGTTGCATATCTATAGCTCTAAATCCTTGCATGGCACCTAAGTGGTTTGATATTGCAAAGCAGCTTACATCGAGATCAGTGGCTAGATAAGGGATCGCCTCACACGACAGACTCTGAGCCATTGCCTAGAACTATGACATCTCATCCGGCGCTGCCCACGGTTTGTTTTGTCCAGATCCGAACTAATGCAGTCGCAACTAACAGAATCGGGTGGTCAATCTAGCTGATTTGGCTAACATATGTCATCATATCCCAGCTGCTTAGATTGATACTCGTGATATCAATCACTGGATTGTCTGGTTTAGACTCGATTACCTACAGACCGCCGTCATGCAGCAAGCTTAAATATGAACGCTTTAAGGCCAGGTTTCAAGAACGGGATTTAGTTCTATAAAATCAACAGGTAACATAAACCTGTTTTGAATGTATGGTTAATGGTCAATTTGTCTCATCGTCGTCGTCATCATCATCATCATGATCATTTGCTTGGTTTGTCACTATGTACAGCGAATGAAGAGTATATCAATATGTTAGCTAACCTCATATCGTCATACAGTGACTTCTGATAGCAATAACCACATTTTACATAAACGGAAACGAACAGTTCACCCACACAAATCGGGCATGACTGAAGAACGGAAGTGCCATTGCAACAAGTAGGGATTCTCATATAATGTAAATACTATGCAAATTGTATGTACTTTATATGCGGATGATGATGACGTTGTAATATTGCAGCTATTTACTAAAACGTGAGGTTAAGGGACCAGCAAAACAATTTCTTTAAGAAAATCGGGTAATATGTTTGATTGTTATAGTCCGTTTGGCTCAAAAGCGGACCGATGAATTGCAATCTAACTGAAAAACTAATACACATATAATACTCAATGAAATGCTGATCATAATAAAAACACCAGACCAACTCTATGACCTTTTTGCAGAGTTAACGTCTAAAAAGAAAAAAGGTTGTTTAACAAACCTGGCTGTTCCTCTCTGTGCACTCCTCCCGCGTAACAAATAGTGAATTGTGCCAATATTTTAATGATAGTTTGTAAAAACAAACTTTATTTTCAGGACATACATTCTATAATATGTCTTTTTTTGTGTTATCGCATAAAAGTATATTTTCTCCTTCAAAATTAACCCTCCTCTTTCGTTGAACTGAATGTGGTGTCGTGTTTCAGATTGTGTTTGAGGGGATGCGTGGGACAAGCTGGCGGAGCGACATGGCGATAGACAACGTGGACATCACAAAGGGAGAATGTGCAGGTATTACCACATGCAGCAGCTCAGTTCAGAGCGAGCGAGATGTGTTTAACCACTTTCATCAATATGTCACTGCATTATATTTAGTTGGTGGTTTTACAAAGACTTAGATAAATAATACCTCTTTATATAGTGAATGAGTTTGTTCCGGTGCAGAGTTATTTCTTTCCGAAGAGGGGCGGTGGGGTACCCTAGTCGTCTAACCGTTGGTTCGTCACGCAGAGGACCCGGGTTCGATTCTCTTCATGGTTACAATGTGTGAAGCCCATTTCTGGTGTCCCCGCCGTGATATTGCTGGAATATTGCTAAAAGCGGCGTAAAACCATACTCACTCTTTCCGAAGCCGCAGGTACATGTGTGTTTACCTGTGCCTCTGTCACCATTGATTAATCCAGGAAGAATAGGCGTTATTTGTATTATTGGTTATAGTTTTGCGTATGTCAATAAATATATAGACAACATGGTAAACATGATAGTGTTTAACCGCGATAGTAAATGGATGCATGGGGAACCCGTCATTTCCACTGTTGTTTTGCCTTTAACCCCCAATAAAATCTGTTTTGAACTACTAATTATTTTCTGAAGTGCGGTTAGGTAGCCTAGTGGTTAAAGCGTTTGCTCGCCAAGCCGAAGACCCGGGTACGATTCCCCACATGGGTCCAATGTGTGAAGCACATGTCGGGTGTATAGCTGGAATATTTTTAAAAGAGGCGTAAAACCATACTCACTCTGGAACCTACGTTTATTTCGTTAAAAAATCACCCATGTTTAGGTACCTCAAGCTCTTATATAACACACCTGTATCTGTTTTAGACATCGTACAGTTTAACTGTCAGTTCGACACGGACTGGTGTGGATGGACAAACGCCCAACCCCCGATGGACACATTTGATTGGGAAAGATCGAACCACTCAACATGGACGCCAGGCACTGGACCAACTGCTGACCACACGACCAGTACAGGTATGTAGTCTGTCTCCAGCAGTTCCTGTCACACCCTGTCTTCATCACGATAATGCTGGGAACCTAAAACTCCCTGTAATTTCCAGATTTCATTTGGAACCGTAACGATCGGAATTACGCTATTTCTCTTCACCATTGACGTTCTGATGCTGCTCGTCTCTAACACAAACATTGACCACAAGCATGTCTTCTAGTGTGGTTTCCTTATGTCCTTAACGATCATCTTGCGTTCTTTCTATTTATTATTAGTAATCTTACTTTGTAATTGTTATTCTAGTAGTTGGTGAGTGAATGACAAAGCTTACAACTATGGATAGCAACTTCTTGTTTAACATATGTTATATTTGGGATTACACTTTCTCAGGAAAGTACAGGTTCTAGTACTAATGTTGGGTGGAGTCCCATCCGGGATTCGAACCCACACCCTCAGTGTAAGGCACTTAATCGCCAGCACACACGGTCAGCCGTCTAACCCACTCAGCTATCGTGATCACGACTCCTTCAAAAGTGGAAGTCGGACAACTGGTTGTCTTGGCCACGGACTTAGTGTACCCCTCTGATAAGTGTATATCGGCACGGCTCCTACGACCGAAAGCTTTGAAATACTTTACTGACAAGGTGTAATCCCAAATATGACATATGTTGCATTTGACCACTTTCTAAATGTCATTTTGTATTACATAACTTCTTGTTTATTGCATAGAGCGACGATTAAATGTAGGCCCTTAAACCGTTATCAAGCTAAATGCGACTACAGCCACGCGAAGAGAAGATTACACGTCTTCTCCAATCAGTTCATGGTGCCACGTCTCCATGAAGACGTCTTACTGATTGTATGTTCAGCGTTCGACATTCTCATGTCAGAGACTGAATGTTATTGTATCGAGTTTTTCAAAGGTGTACGTGTTATCCACTTGTTATCAATGGAATTACAGTTGGGTTTTACAGCGGTAATGGCTGTGTGATCACCAGGGAAGTGGGTAGCTCTTCATGTCGATCTCCTCACCACCCTGGTCTGTATATGCTAAATATTTATGGTGTAATCTTGATCTGTCATTGCAGGCTTCTTTGTATACATTGAAACGTCTGGGCCCGTGGCTCCCGGCTCAGTGGCTCGTCTCGTGTCCCCACGTATGACAGATGAGTCCTCGGGCTTCTGTCTGGAGTTCTGGTACCACATGTATGGGAGGGACGTCCGTACCCTCAGCGTCTTGCGCTACTCTCTGGAGGGGGGCGGCATCACCTCACTCTGGTCCGCCACTGGAGACAAGGGCAATTGGTGGAGACGTCATCGCCAAACCGTGACAAGCTCTGGACAGGACTTTCAGGTGAAAATATACCACATACTAAATCACTTTCGTGAAACACCAAGAACAGAGGAATGTATGTGAGTGTCAGAAAACGGGCAAAACCGGAGATAAACCACGCCTACAACTAGACCACCCACGACCCTCCTAACAAAGAAGCATGCTACCACTTATAGTGAGCAAGTAGGGTTTCACGCCGCTGTTTACAGTATTTGAGTAATATCAAGGCGTGTTATCGCAGAAGGAGATCCCGGGATTACGTCTATGACGTTTAATACTCTTGTTAACACGATTAAGGTGCTGACAACCACGAACAATAAGCATCGTGAATCATGTATTCAAATGAGAGCAACAAACCCCTTCCCACATCCATAGGAGAACTCTCCTTAAAGCAGAGTCCATTGTACAATTCCAACTGTATCATGAGCAAATGTTTACTTACCACTATCAAATAGTGATAATAACAGGTGTTTGTAAAAAGCTAAGCGTATCCTGCCCCACGGTTGCCCCTGTCATAAACACATGTAAAGGCTAGGCAATTCTCTATCTCGCCCGATGGACACAACTCGTCATGCAGTGTTATTCCTCATGCTTCAGATCATATTTGAGGCGGTGTCCGGCGGCTCCCTCGGAGACATTGCCATCGACGACGTGTCCATCACACCTGGCGCATGCTACAGCTTCGACGCCCAGGTGTTGTCAAGAAGGCATTTCCCGTTTTTGCAGAGTTCTGGGCGCTGATTGGTTAGATGACCATGTGAGCTATTGGCTGGATTCACCCCGGGAGTGAACAACGAATGTGATATAGTGAATTATAATGACTTGTGTGATCTTTGAGGAGGACCACGGACGGACAACGTATTTTGTGTATATATTTTGGAAAAGATATGCGAGACTGCAGCCATACTGGAACTATATTTTTGAGAGGCAGCAGTGGAGGGTTGCGTTTGTAAATATGGTTGTTTGACATTCTGTATCCCATACTTAAGGTTGTCTTGTTGTCTGTCTGCTTAACACAAGTATTATACATTTCAATGCTGATTGGTGTATCATGTTGTAGTCAGAAGTTCTGTAATGTTTAAAGCGCGACATGTAACGTTGATGTAATGTTGTCTTACATATATCTTGCTTTATTGCCTCACCTAAAGTGCATTCTATTTAACTCAAAACAAATATCACCAGCTTACTAAAATTCATAACTTTTCTTTCTGATTAGTTTTAGATGAAACCAAATCATCAAATTGATTACAGAGCAAAATAAGCCACATAACATCTCGAACACATTTGTAGAAATGCTAGCAAACTACGAATACAAAAGTAGCCTGATCTTCATGTCGGATGATTAGAAACAAATATATTGTCCGTATTAAGTGTTTCCATGGTAACATTTCATCTACAATTGGGATTTAACAACACTCCAGGATATGTTTTAGTCAACAAAGCTACTAATTCAGTGTTATCTGTGTTGTACATTTATGTTTGTTATATTAGATGTTTGTATTTATGTTTATTTAATGCTTCCATTTAAAATCATGTTCCTCAAATAACAGTGTTCAGTAACAAATGATTTATTCTCGGCGAAATTGTATCAACTTTGAATTAACCATATACTTGATTCTAGGCTGTGGTATCGCTCGCTAGAATGTAACGGTATGTACGGTAGACATGTGAGACTTTCGCTCCTCTGACCTTGTAGCTAAAACCCAACTCAACTTGTAGCTAATGCCAGACAAACGATCTTATATGAATAGTAGCGAATAAGAAGATATATCAAGCGTTGTACTCTGGGCAGCCTGGGGAAAATGCGGGCGAGGAGATGATATTTTATGAGCGCTTCGATTTTTACACGTTTTCTTTTGTTATAATTCAATGTGACATTCAGCTTTGATTAAACAGGGGTTTACAGGACACTTAAAAAAGATACCAATGCTAGGAGGAAAGGAGTACTTCATGTTGATAGCGCCTGTATTCTGTGTTGCCATCCACCGCCAGTGTATGCATGCAATACTCAAGGAATCATGTAGCTTGGAAGTTGATGTTTCTACTCATTCTATCATATCATATAAAAATAACCATCCATGGCAAGAAAGGCGGAAAGTTTAACGTTCACGTATATTGTCTAAATAACCTGGGCGGCATTCATTGCAGAGACTTCAGTGGCGATAATCCATTATTTTGTTTTGTCTCAGATGAGTAATATTTGTCTTCATCAAACTGTCTTTCCTGTAAATAATAAATGTGATTTGCCAAACACGTCTACCCGTGTCTCTGCAGAGTCATGTTTGTATTTGTGTCATTAGAGGTCGTTAACCCGCGAACCTTCATACACGGCGTGAGTTGGAGTTTAAAGCTGCTTTTAGCAATACTCCAACATTATCACGACGGGGGACACCAGAAGTGTGCTTCACACATTGTACCCATGTGGGGATTTGAACCCTGGTCTTCAGCGACACGAACGCACGTTTCAACCACTTGGTTACCCCAGCGCACCAATTATATATGCTAACACGTCCAACATTACAGTTCATGTAACACAATCATCTTCAAAGTTAACACATCCATCATTACAGTAACAGATAACACATCAACATTCACAGTGTAGGTAACACTCATCATCAAAGGTAACTCATGCAGCTAACAGAGAACACAACCATCATCACTGTAACTGATAACATAGAACATCACAATCACAGATAACAATCGCATCACAATTACAGGTAACACATCCAGCATCACAGTAACAGATAAAATATCCAGTTAGAAATAACACATCCATAAACTGAAATTACAGGCAATATATCATCACCACAAGTTAAAATAACACATCCATCAACTGAAATTACAGGTAATATATCATCACCACAAGTTAAAATAACACATCCATCAACTGAAATTACAGGTAATACATCCATCATTACAGGTTACATCCATCATCACAAGTAAAAATAACAACTCCATCTACTTAAATTACAGGTAATACATCATCACCACAAGTTAAAATAACACATCCATCAGCTGAAATTACAGGTAATATATCATCACCACAAGTTAAAATAACACATCCATCAACTGAAATTACAGGTAATACATCCATCATTACAAGTAAAAATAACAACTCCATCTACTTAAATTACAGGTAATACATCATCACCACAAGTTAAAATAACACATCCATCAGCTGAAATTACAGGCAATATATCATCACCACAAGTTAAAATAACACATCCATCAACTGAAATTACAGGTAATATATCATCACCACAAGTTAAAATAACACATCCATCAACTGAAATTACAGGTAATACATCCATCATTACAAGTAAAAATAACACCTCAATCAACACAGTTACAGGCAATACATCCATCACCACAAGTGAAAATAAGACATCCATCAACTGAAATTACAGGTAATACATCCATCATTACAAATAAAAATAAGACCTCCATCAACTTAAATTACAGGTAATACATCATCACCATAAGTTGAAATAACACATCCATCAACTGAAATCACAGGTAATACATCCATCATCACAAGTAAAAATAAGACATCCATCAACTGAAATTACAGATAATACATCCATCACCACAAGTGAAAATAACACAAAATCAACACCAGGTAATACATCCATCACACAAGTAAAAATAACACATCCATCAACTGAAATCACAGGTAATACATCCATCATCTCAAGTAAAACTAACACATCCATCAACTTAAATTACAGATAATACATCCATCACCACATAAGTTAAAATGACACATCCATCAACTGAAATAACAGGTAATGCATCCATCATTACAAGTAAAAATAACACCTCAATCAACAACATCCATCACCACAGGTAAAATATCTGGGTTAATACATCCATCATCAATTAAAATAACACCTCCATCAACTTAAATTACAGTAATCAGTTAAAATGACACATCCATCAACTGAAATAACACACATCCACCTCAATCAGGGGTAACACATCCATCATCAGAATTAACACCTCCATCAATATAGTTACAGGTAATACATCCATTAACACAGTTACAGGTAACCCATCCATCATCACAATTACAAATAACACATCCATCAACACAGTTACAGGTAACCCATTCATCATCACAATTAAAAATAACACATTAATCAGCACAGTTACAGTTAACACATCTATCATCACAGTTACAGGTAACACATTCAACATCACAATTAAAAATAACACCTCCATCAACACAGTTACAGGTAATCATCCATCATCACAATTAAAATAACACCTCCATCAACACAGTTACAGGTAATCATCCATCATCACAATTAAAAATAACACCTCCATCAACAAAGTTACAGGTAACACATTCAACATCACAATTAAAAATAACACCTCCATCAACACAGTTACAGGTAACACATTCAACATGGCAGGCACGGGTGGCACACATTCATGTACAAGTACCACACATTCATCGTTACACTTGCAGGGTACATACTCATTATAACATTTGTAGTTAACAAGAGTGCGTGCAACGCGTCAGTCCCAGCTAAATGCAGCAAACACCATCTTTCTTCACACGCATGTATCGAAGGTGGGCTCTTGGTTGCCTTTAGCTAACTGTCTCAAGTAACGCGCATACCAGGGTGTCTGGTGCACATTGAATAGCCCGAGGATTTGTTTCATTTTATCAGTGCTGAAATGTGCACATTTATGAATAAAGAAAACATAAATCTGTAGCCAAGTATATCACATTAACAATGCTGGACCTGCAGTGTGCACAGTTCATTATTACCCGTTTTCAGGAGAGTTTCAATGGTCAATTAATAAACTTTCAGGACAAAACCTGCCTCTGGATCCGCTTATGCATCATATATGTACATTGAAATCCCAAAGCAAGACAGTGTTTCAGTCAGAACGTGACATGTAATATATCTCTCTGTGTAGTTATATGTATTCATGAGCTCGACGTACTCTGTTATACTGACCCTGAAACATGAACCCGTTTCACCCTATGCAAGTCTTGAATGTGTGGCAAGAAAGCCTCTGGGCTCCTTTTCATTGTATTTTATTAGCATAATGTAGAAACTGTTTCTTCTGAAAGTATATTTATTTCAGAGATTAAGTGTTAGTCTAGAGCTCCACAGTAACATGAAAACACAAAGCACCCACTGTATTTTTGCATTGATAGGTTTCAACACGTACATAAAACTTGTCGTGGTGACCACGATGGAAAAACATGAGTTTTCTGACCCGTATGATCCTTTGACTCATGGAAAACGACAAAATTATTGGAATCCATGTTGATTTTATGAAGATAATTGCTCATTTAAAAAACCAAAACTCACTGATTTTCATACAAAAACATGTCTGTGAAAGTATGGCTCTGAAATGTTTAATGTTGAATTTATTGTTGACTGTGAACATTCAAAATGTCATTTTGCGTGTGTTTTGTACACGATTCAAGTTCAATACCGAGTGTAACCTCCATGTGAATGTATGACAGACAGCGCTCCCCTCCTCATACCCCCTGTCAGCCATTTCTGGTGTAAAGCAGCTTCCTATTGGGCCAGGTCAGAACAGGATGAACTCTTTGCTGCACACGACGACCAGTCATGTCCCAGATGTGCTCTAAAGGGTTACGATCGGGGCTCATTTAATCGTGCGATATGTTGGATGCTTTATGAATAATACATCTAAATGCGTATCTAAATGCGTACTTCCACAGCGTAAACAACCTATACCAGCAAGTAGGTTTCTTTTGATGTCTGCGAGTGAGTGAGTGAGTGAGTGAGTTTAGCAATATCACGACGGGGAACACTAGAAATGGGCTTCACACATTGTACACATGTGGGGAATCGAACCCGGGCCTTTGGCGAGACGAGCCAACTCTAACCACTAGGCTACCCCACCGCCCCTCTTTGTCAATCTCTGTGAGTAGAACTTTGCAACAATGGAGCTCAGAGGGTGAGTGAATGTTGTTTTACGCCACATTCAGTAATATTCCAGAAACAACACAGGCCTTTATCTATATTGTATATTGTACAAGCAAACCAGTAATATAAAACAAGGACAACAATCAAGGCAATCGATCACGATGACAAACCCTTAGCCAAGTTACCTTGCCTGACGACACAATTTTCTTTCACCAGCTAGACAAGCATATGAACATGGAGGCCTCTGCCCCTCTCCAGAATAGTCCCAACAGTTCGCACAGGTTCACATTCTGATCGAGCGCCCCTTGCCTGCTTTATGCAATCCAGGATGCAAGTGATGTGATTACACTCCTACTACATACATACAGGTGTGCAGTCTGGCGGTTGTCCTAGGTCGCTGAGACTTTAAGACGCTTAGAGACACTTTGTTGTGACAAGACTGCGAGCAAATGTTAATGAGCACTATGAATGTGTAACATTTGCATTCGGAATGATGGTACTTAGTGTATGCCATCTTCTTGCAAGTTGACAGGAACAAAAATGTACAAGCACCCAATGCCAAGAATGTACAAGCACCTAATACCAAGAATGTACAAGCACTCAATGCCAAGAATGTACAAGCACCTAATACCAAGAATGTACAAGCACTCAATGCCAAGAATGTACAAGCCTCTAATACCAAGAATGTACAAGCACCTAATAACAAGAATGTTAAAGCACCTATTACCAAGAATGTACAAGCACCTAATAATAATAATGTTAAAGCAAGAATGTTAAAGCACCTATTACCAAGAATGTACAAGCACCTAATAATAAGAATGTTAAAGCACCTAATAACAAGAATGTACAAGCACCTAATAACAAGAATGTACAAGCACCTAATAACAAGAATGTAAAAGCACCTAATACCAAAAGAGACAGGGGCTGAAAGACAATTCTTGAATTTATAAGGTAGCAAATAAACATGTCTTTTTCACCTAAACGTGTCTTTTCTTCATGTTTGATTGTATTGTTTATGTTTATGTTTATTGTATTGTTTATGTGTTTGTATATCCTCTGTGTAAACACTAGGTCGACGCAGAGTATAGGTATTACGTGGATCTACGTGTATCTTATGTATCAAACGGCTTGGTGTATTTGTAAACTGGATAAATTATTTTAAGACAAATAAGGTCGAATGAAACTGTCCCAATTTCTATTCATATGATATTTCCACTGTCAAGTAATGAACTTGCCAAAACAAGACACTCTGTGATTTATCTACGCCTCTACGTTAATATCATAACAGCCATTCATTAAGCTTTAAACTAAATAATTATTAGTCTTTGTTTGAAAATTCGTGAACTATGAACGCATTAAATATACTCAGCACCAAAATAAAACCCACGTCAGTACGAATTTGAAATAGATAGGCACTGTAATCAAATCATTACAGAAACTGACATAATAAGCGGATCAAAAACATTGTTTGTGTACAATATCTTGACAAGGAAAATTCCAAACTGACGTTTCTTTTGCTGCTTAGTATATATAGCATCTGCGCATATGATACTTTCATCTGCTTATGTGATATTGTCATATGAAGTGTCATCGACTTCTAACAATATCACTGTCTGAATAACGACACGATTATTTTGTATACATGGTGTCATCCATGTAGATATTTGTTTAGAATGTGGCGCTGCTACGTATACTCTTCCATAGTTTAAAGTAGTTTTCAAACAGGCATACGTTTAACATGCATATCCGTGTACAATGTCTGTGTGTAACTGCTTAACCAGCAAGTCATTGTATATACCAACAGGGTCGTGTTCCTAGCAATGTAAAACTGTTTTTGCATAATGTTAAAATTCATTACTATATCAGATAAGCTGATTTACAAGTTACCCTCTACGGTCAGTAGGTCATGCTCACGGGGATGCTTATCAACCGAAGGAACAAAAATAGATGTCACTGCTAATGACAGAGGCCTCTATAACATTCCCGACTATATCCTCTGACTATACGGATTGGTAGTTGGTTGGTATGTTGTTTAACGCTGCTCTCCAATATTCCAGCTATATGGCGGCGGTCTGTAAATAATCGAACCTGGACAAGACAATCCAGTGATCAACGTCATGAACATTGTTCAACGCCATTGGGATGCGATGACATGTGTTAACCAAGTCAGCGAGCCTGACAACCCGATCCTGTTAGTCGCCTCTTGCGACAAGCATGGGTTACTGAAGAACGATTCTAACCCGTATCTTCACGGATACCGACCATACGCGGTCCAAAAAGGGAAACTATGTCAGTTGTGCTTGTCGTAAGCGGCGATTAACGGATCGGGTGGTCAGGCTCGTTGACTTGGTTGACACATGTCATCGGTTCCCAATTGCGCAGATCGATGCTGTTGATCACTGGATTGTCTGGTCCAGACTCGATTATTTACAGACCGCCGCCACATAGCTCGAATATTGCTGAGTGCGGCGTAAACCTAAACTCACTCATTCACTCAAACAACATTAACAAATAAAAACACATATGTATAATTAATATTGCCTAAATTTATTCAATGAATATTGTCTTCATTGAGTTTTATTTGAAACTCATTTGTCTTCATTAGACATTTCTGTTCTACTCATAAGCGTTTCAATATCATGTCGTAGCAACTGGAACTATATGGTCAATCAGTAAAGCTTTATAAAGATGTAATGGTGATATGAACTACGAATACGGATGTAATTCATATATTTTATATCAAAGATTATAAGTTAGTGAGTGAATTAATATTTATCGTCACATCGTCAATATTTCAGCCATATCGTGACGAGAATAATCATTTATCATAACAAAGATCAATAAATCTAGAAATTAACAACCTGTTAACGATGAACGGTAAAAACACTAGAGTATCGCAGATAAGATAAAACTAGTATGCAATCATTAAACGATATTATTAAAGAGAACAATACCATATAAAACGGGCTATGGATCTCCAGCAACTGAAGGTAGATCACCACACTTTGGACTCAATGATTAAAAGCGCTATTGCTGTCTGCATATATAAAAGAAATAGAAGAGAATGATTTTTTCAAGCCCTGCTATAGTCATATTGTGTCTTGGACCTGAGCCACATGGCGAGTGCAAACTGCCCACCTACTCCAGCCTTACGAATTAACGGCACCAGGAGAACTCAGTCAGGCGACCTCCTCCCCTGCAGGGTAGGACGTGACACTGGACGACACGGGATCGTTGTTTGAGATACACGTATATAGAATTGGTGATTATTGTTTATCTTACCTTCATGTAAAATACTTTCATTTCATTGGTCAATGACGCTTTAACAAGTTTCCGTGTCACCCCTCCCAAGAGGGTGACAACTGGAAAAAATATTACCCGCTGCCACGGTAACCGCCAAGCTCTCCGCCGAGAAGTTGAAGCGCTAACAATCGTATGACGTCATAATATGACGCAAGCCGTGCCCGGAGTTTGAAAACCGTTCGATCAGCTGTTTTTGTGTTCACTTTGCACAGATTTATTTTAGCGACTTTCACTGCTTTATTTAAGTTATTTTATACATTGAGTGGTTTGCACACTCAAATTAAACATAATTAACCATTTTTATAGCAATTTTAATCTTGTCAGAATATGTTTCACTGATATTAAAAATCCAGTCGAGAGGCAGACGCCATTTTGTTTGCATGTCATATAGTCGGTAGCGATCTTAAACATAAAATAAAATGATATTTTGTACATTCAACATGGCGGTAAGATAAATACGTTGTAATCCATACAGTCTGATGTACGCATCTTTGTAGCAGTGTCATCCCTCGCCTACCGGCTCGGATGACACTGCTACAAAGAGGCGTACATCAGACCGTATTACCCTCGAGAGAAGCATACAACTTATAATGTACGAAACGGTAATGTCACTATGAAGTGGACTAATGTTTGAGAGTTTAATGTGGGTGGCTGTTACTCCATGGATGTCACGTTCCTGCGATTTGTAGCATGTGTCTAATACATGTTATATCATGGTGTGCCAGCTCTGACTTGAGAGGAAAGGCCGTACTGTTTTTAAATATGTGTGAGAATTAAGATTCTTTATCCCTAATAATTATATTTAACTATGTAATATCCCTTTACTGTATATGAGAGTTGACGAGAAATCGCCTTAGTACAACCTAATACGTACATTTTTACATGATCCCAAATACCTGTTCACAAATCAGAGTTCAGGTGCGAATGCAGAGTTTGACTGAAATTCAATATTAAGCTACATCCTTTTTAGCTATGAGTCAGACACATATAGAAGGTTCACATAATATCACAAAGTGTGAAAACGTTGTGGCCATCACTTGGATCGTCAGTGATTCTACCACCCGTGTAAAGGTGAGTTTGGAAGAACATCTACGTATTGGGCAAATCTCCTTTCAAACTTTAAACAAGGGTAAGAGATGATTTAGACAGCGCACACTCATTGGGAGACCCGATAGTCATGAGGCCGTGCGTCATTTTGTGATCTAGTTTCTATCTAGTATACTATGGCGACTGGATAATACTTCATATATACTTCATTTTGTGTGGATGTTATAATTATGAACGTCGCCATCATCTTCCTCTTCATTGCGTCCTTTCACGCTGCACTATTTAATTCCGATTGTTTATTTAAGACTCAGAGGCAAAGGTTATTGACTGACTTTTTAAGAGGTAAACTTGTGAAAACATTTTTGGATTAGAACCGGAGATAGAGTATGTTAAAATTGCCGAGGAAACGCAACCAAGCAGTTGGTCGAATTCTCCGAAATGTGAAAGGAGCACGACCTATCTGAGGCAAACGGCCAGGAATGTTCACCGTAAAAGGACAGACAATTAGACACTTATCATTTCCATCAAAAGCAGTCTTAAGAAATGCAGAAGTCAGACCTCTATTCATCATTCTGGAACATATTCGGCTGTCCACGCAACGTGGAAAATGACAGATAGAGATAATAAGTATACTTCTGGTACCTCGCTGCGTGACGTTCATCGTTGATTCTACGCCAATTGAAACATCATATTGAACGTAAAACCAGACAATTGGTTCTGAATGAGGGTCGTTTGGGTGGTGGGGGTGTTATGATCTGGGGTGTGATAACAGCTGCAACAAGGAGGCCAGTGATTGTGTTTGAGGGCAACATGATTGCTACGAGGTAGCGAGACGAGGCAAAGGCAGCTTTATCATTTTTACAACAGAACGGCCCTGGAGTGAAGTTTCATGATTAGGATATGGAAGTATCTCCCTGGACCTTCACAGATGGCATCAATGAGGCGAAGATGCCTGGCCTGCATCAATGCACCAGGTGGACACACTCTCTACTGACCGCATGAACTTGCTTGTCAATACCCTCCTGTGTTGTCGCTCGTTTGCACATGTCATGTGAGCTGTTGTTATGGACTGTTTATCGTTACCGTGCCTTAACACATACCTTTCGGGTGACAACCTTTCATTTGCAACAGTGAGAGTTTAAAATACTGATTGTGTGTGTTGTCTGGCACAATAACATTTGCCTCTGAGTATACAACAGTGACCTCTTGTCACGACAGAAGAGAAAGAATCTACGCAAACGTGGTTATTTCCGGTCCTGGAAATATCTGCTGATAACAACATCAGCAGCCAGAAGCGTTCCCTCGGACCATCCTCGAAGACCACCATATGCCCATGAATTAGTGACTAGGTATACATCATCGGAGGAGGATGGTTTATACAACATCTCACGAACTTTTCTGTCGTCAAAGCCTGGTTTGAAATCAGACCATCCAGCGTAGAAAGGATATTTGTCCCACAACATCATTGCGCCTCCAACAGCTTCGGGGATATCAGATTGGCTGACGTTGTAGATGGCGCTTAAGTACTTCTCAGCTCTGTTCTTGACGACGTCTGTTACAGCATTCACTCCGGGGAGACTGCCAGGGATTGGCGTCCCGAATTGACTCAACTCTCGCCAGTAGTGGGCCAAGTCCCCGTTGTGGTAGGACGCCATGATGATGGAGACGTTGTTTGTGCCGGTAGACCAGTCATAGGTCTGTCTGTTGGGAAGATCACTCCTGGTATGAGTGATGTCAGGGTTGCCGGTCTTCCACCATTTGGTGTTGTAGGCAAGATATATTCTGCCAGCAGGGTGCCCAACGAGTGAGTCCATGTTCTTTACAATCTCTGGGTTGTTCTGGAACTGTGGAAAGTCAATCTCTTGTATACATCTCTGAGGAACAGCAAGTACTACTTTCCTGGCGCACCTGGTCACTTCCTTGTTACCCAGCTGGAATGAACAATGAATATGGTTAACTTCTCGTGATACAGAAATATGTCATAAATAACAACAGGTATGTATTAGAAAACAAACCTGTATTGGAGTTGTAATTCCGTCAGTTGTCTGAGTCTTTCTGAATCTGAGGTTGTATCCTCCATACTGCCTCTTCTCTATCTTCAGCAGTTGGTGGTTCAGGTGGAGCTTGTGGCTTTGAAACGAAGAGAAGGTGACATGGAGGTGGTATGAATCTACAATTTTTGGTGTCTTCGGTGAGATGCAGGGCCTAAACGAATGTGATACCCGTGCTCTCAAATGATAAGTGAATTGATGTTAGTGTATGAAATGTATGGAGAGTTCAACAGCATAACTCCCATCAAACATGAAAGCAATAATAAGCCAAACCTACCTCGTGCTTGTATTCAGGAAGTTCTCCATTAAAGTCAGTGGCACCTTCCCCATTCCACCATCTATTGTCACTACTTCATCGGGTGGCCCTGTTGCTACAGGGTATGACAAGGAGATTGTTGGACCGTCGAGGGCTCCGTGTGTGCCAACAGTTTCAGCCCACCCACTGGTTTCAGAGATGTATCTGTAAGCCTCCCGACTAGCGAAACGTCCATAAACGTTGTCAAGCCTTGGGTGAATGTTAAAACATTGAGTGTGTATATACGTATATACCAGAATATGCTCATGGGAAATCAAAATAGATATTGGGACTTGTAAACTTAGTAATACGTGCATTTAACACAAATGTGTGAGTACGTTTTGGAGTCGTTCATTGTGCAGATATTTTTCTTTAAATTCTTTTTATTGTTCCCATCAATACAAATTTCGAGGATATGTGTAGTTATATGTGAAATACATTGCTGATACATCAAACATATGTATACATTGCACATTGAATTTCAGCGGTTAAAATGGTCATTCTGGATCAAAATAATGGGAATAGAGGAAACCATTTTCTGAGAATTTATCAAAAACATTGTTTCTTTTGAATATATAGTTTTCAACCATGAATATATCTTTTAAAATCGTTTTTAAGTTTTCTTAGTTAGGAATTATTTTTTCAGGGTGCAAATATAGATGTGTCTTTTAGCAGAAAGTATTGTATGATGAAGTAGAGGGTTAGTACCACACCAAACGTGAAATTTTGTCAATTGCAATTCCTGTATGTTTTGCTTCATCCCAATTTGAAGTTCTTTCCAAATATTTTTTGTTTCCTCACATTCCCAATATATTTGACACATGTTTTCATCCGATTCATAACATAAAGTACATATTAAATTGTCAACTAGTTTCATCTTTAAAAGTTCTTTTTCGGTATAAACAATTCCATGCAAAAATGTAAATTTAAAATCTAAAAGTTAAACATCTGTTATATGTTTTCATAGATTAAAGATCAAGGGCATTCAAAATCCATATCTTTGAATAAATTTTCCCATTCATGGCAGATGTGTGGTAAAACAGTATCAGATAGCAATTTATCATAGAATTTTCTCGAACCTTTAGCTGAAGTCAAGTAATCCTTTTGTAAGAGTTTATATTAACGTCATTTGTATACATATATCTGTAGCTTTTTAAGGTCATTTTCCATGATTCAGGTAAAATGTATAAAATATATTTAAGATCAAAATGTGTACCCCTTATCCCTTATGTATTTCGCAAATCTTCAAAAGAGACCAAACCTTGTTCATCATACAAATCCTTAATAGTTAAAATTCCTTTGTTAACCCAGTGTCTGATACAGTGGTTAGGGTTTTAAAGTTATGATTGGGCCATATGTGTTGGGATTAGATTTCATTCATGTTATCATCATCTTCAATGGTGTTTTTAGTACAATATGATTTCCACGCCTTTAAGACATCCCTCCAGAAAGAATTTTCAATTTCAACAATATTCTGAAAATTTGCTACATTCTTTAGTATATCTTTTAATGGAAAATTTCATGGATTACACTTACACTTGCTTTTCTAACATATAGCCTGAGTATGGATAGTTTCATGGCTTTAACAAAGGTTTTGATATCAATCATGAGCAAACCCCCTTCTTTATAATCTTTTTTCAAAATACTCCGTCTGATTTTGTCAATTTTATTATCCCAAATAAATATGAAAAATATTATCTCTAGGGAAGTAATAAATTCATCTGGTGGGTTAGGTAAAGTATTAAAGATATGCACCAATTTTGAAAGAACCAATGTTTTAATAACAGTAATTTTGCCAAGCAATGTCAATTTTCTTTTTCTCCATGTCGCCAGTAATCTATTAATCTAGACCTAAACCAAATTTTAATAAGCGAAATTTATAAAATCTTTAGAAGCTTTTTCAAAATCAGTTGAAATCCATAAACCCGGTTTGTCTCGTTTCTTAGTTTCAAACATAATATCATACAGTAATCTTGTATTTTCACTAAGTGTTCTGCCTGGTATAAATCAAGTCTGGTTGTCATGTATTAGAGAATTTAAGGTAATTTTCAATCGGTTAGAGATACAGGCGCTTATTATTTTATACAGAGCATTTAATAAAGTAATTGGTTTCCAGTTCTTTAACTGGTTTCTGTTTTTATTACCGTTTGGTATTCAGGTGATAACTCCTCTCTTCATGCTAAGAGACATCTTATTTCTTACAGAAACATCTTTAATAAATCGTGAAAGCCAAACCGTAAAATCTTTCCAAAAGTACTTAATGATCTATCGAAAATCCATCTATTCCAGGGCTTTTGTTATTCTTCATGCTTTTTACTGCCAGTGATATTTCATTCATGTCAATTTCCTTTTCAAATTTGTCTCTCAGTTGGTCACACAAGGTTGGAGTTATCACATTTTTAAAATGAGAATCTGTTTCATATTTCTTATCTGAAGCACAGAGTTTTTATGAAATTCCTTAAGTTCATTTAAGATTGAATCACTGCCAGTAATTTCTTCACCCTTATCCGTAATGATTTTGTTTATTGATTTGCTGATGTAATTTCTATTTTCTAAATGGCAGAAATATTTTTCTGTTTTATCTCCTTCTTCATACCATAAGATTCTGTTTATGCTTCTGGCCTTGGGATTGTTAATATTTGTATAATTTTCAAGATCCATTGAAGGATTCATAACCAAATTCCAATCTCCAAAATAGCCAAGAATTCATTATCAAAATTGTAAATATTATCAAATAGTTTTACATAAAATTTGGATCATCAATATTTGGTCCATATATGTTTGCAAGTGTAAACATTTTTCCTTCTTTGGTTACATTTGCAATTATATAATTTCCATTCTCATCTTCTAAAGTTTTATGTATAGTAATATCAATATTGTTGTTAAAGAGTATAGCCACCCATCTTGAGTTAGATTTAGAAGGTGCATTTTTCATTATATCTACATCTTCTTTAGCTCCAATGTGCAGATTATTTTCAAAACCCTAATGTACGTACTACGTTTCGTGGCATGAGACAGAAGTATAAGGCTGGCATATCTCCGGCACAGGTTCCAGACTGCACACAGTCAGGAGCCGCTTACGTCATTACAGGATACGACCACGTCCAAACATGCGACCTATCTTGACGCAACATCATCAAAAACAACAAACGTGGGGAGAAATCATGCCAACTGCGTTTGTGGTTGGGGTACTGTTGTTTTCGCAGACGAGTCCAGATTCAACATTTCCCCTTGTGACGTACGTCGACGTGTCCACATATATCCTATGGAGCTTTACGCTCAAGTTTGTGTCCTGGAATGGGATCGCATTGTGGTTTGTCGTGATGATTTGGGTAGGGGGCGCACGCCCGTTGCTGCTTGACCCTCGCGACAATTTTAACATGCAAAGCAAAATGCATGTGCAAGTAAACGCAAAAGCATTCGGTATCGGTCACTCTAAAAAGGGAAAAGTTTTGGTGAATTTTGTCATTCGCTTTTGCCTGAAAAAGAGGAAATCATCATGCTACGACTGAGTGCCGCCAATCGAAACATCGATAAAGGCCGCCTTGAAGCTGAGGAGTGGCAGTCTGCAGTTGCCCGACATTTCAACGTGCATCAGAGCGCCCTATCTCGCCTTTGGGATCGTTTCCTCTAAACCAATTCCGCCAAAGATCGCCCGGGAAGCGGCCGTCCAAAAATGACCACCTACGCCCATCATCACTACATCCGGGATGCTCATAGTCTTGCCACAGCCGTGGAGACTGCATAACGCATTCCTGGTTTGAGAAGAATTTCCGACCAAACTGTAGAGGAATCGATTGTGTAAATTGGGGATTCGACCTAGAAGGCCAGTTCTCGCCCCTGTTTTGAGAGACTTCCATCTGCGCAATCTCTTGCTGTGGTGTCTTAGAGTCCGGAACTGGAACCTTAGAAACTGGAGCGGAGTCTGGTTCAGTGATCTCGATTTCTTCGTCACCGGCGAGATGGAACACAGCGTGTTTACCGAAACATTTTTTGAACATTTCCCCCCTAATTACATTCGACAGGTCGACAGATTCGGTGGGGCCAGTGTCATGGTGAGGGGTGCGATATCCAGCACACAAAGATCTACTTTAGTGGTGGTTCATGGGAATTTGACAGCGAATCGGTAAATCAACGAAGTCCTTGCACGCCACATGCTTCCGATTATGTACCGACAAAGGTCGTAGTCTGTAGAATATTTGATAAACTTACGACATTTTGTACAGCAGAGTTCCATCCACGGTTCTCATCTTCAACACATCATCTCGACTGGGGTACATGGTTGAGTTGTCCAGAAAGATGAGGTTCTTGTTAAAGATGTTCCTGTAACGACAGAGGCATAATAACATGATATCAATGGACACTAGCGATATTCTCTTCAACTAACAGAAAATGTTAGTTATCCTCCGTTGATTGCCTTCAAATAGATATTTATATCAGAATGAATAACTTCGAATATTTCAAAATGTCAAGGCTTTATATTGACAAATATTTCAATCCATTAACGATTATTACTGTCCCTTTTCTAAATACTGAATGCCTTACCATTTCAATACACCAGGAACCTTCATTTCATTTGCGGGAAGGTCATAGGGCATGCGACTTGTTCCGAAGTCAGTATTGCGCATGTGCTTGCCACGAGCGTACCAGATCGTCTCATCTGGAATCCCATATCTGAGGGGAAAGGGAATAATTCTGAGACCTATCTCTGTCGCTGTTCTGGTTAAGATAGGGTGGCCTCTCTTCTTAAATCTCATCCCTCCGAAGTCAAGGTACGTCCCTGGTGCAACAGGCAGTTCGGTACTGAACAGTCTGCCCCCAACTCGGTCGGAGTACTCGAACACAGAGATAGAGAGGCCTCTGTCCCTCAGTCTCCAGCCTGTGTAGGCGCCCCCGATGCCTCCGCCAATCACAGCCACGTCGAGACAGTCGTCAGATGATGTTGGAGCTGAAGATATTGAAGCACATGATTTCGTCATGGATTGGTTAGTGACTTAAACATTAAAACAAATACAGCTAGTGTGAAGTTTGATTATTACAGTAAGGCGTTCTTATGGTTTCATCTAGTGCCGATTCCTCTGATACTGATACGACATGATAACGTGTCTGTTTGTTGGCAAATCCCCAATGAGTCACACGTGTTACATTTCGATTGGGTGTATCAGTGCCTCGTGGTCATTCTTTATGTAGGAAAAATACGTTACAAACATGCATATAGAAGAAACATCACCTGTGTACGTTTCCTTGGGTGGTGTTGCAGCAGACGAAGTTACTGAAATTTCACAAAAAGTGAACGTAAAATGATTTATAATTTATTCGACAGGGATGTAGAGAGGTTTTGAATCTTAGTCTACTTCAAATCGAAATGTAAGAAAGAACAAACTATATTTCATACTTATCTGTACTGGTGGTGATGAAGTCGTCAAAATGTGTATAATACACTGATTGGCTGGTTACAATTTAACTGCAGGTCGACAGTGTTAAAGCCGCCAGTACTTTGAGATGTATTAATGACATTAATCAGAAGAACCTTTACATATCAATAACTACGAGAGGGCTTTAAGTACAATCATGTGACGACCTATGTGATGCTGTCAGTATGATTACTAGTATTCATCAGGTGACGACAAACCTGAGGTTATTAATGTTACTGCCGATCAGGGGACGTCATACCTGAAGCTATTAATGTGACTGCCGATCAGGTGACGTCATACCTAAGGCTAGTAATGTTACTTCCGATCGTGTGACGCCATACCTGGGGCTGTTAATGTGACTGCCGACCAGGTGGCGTCATACCCGAGGCAGCCAGTATGACTATTGATCAGCTGACGCCATACCCGAGGCAAACAGTATGACTGGTGACCATGTGACTACATACCTGAGGCAATCAGTATGACTGGTGATCATGTGACTACATACCTGAGGCAATCAGTATGACTGGTGATCATGTGACTACATACCTGAGGCAAATCAGTATGACTGGTGACCATGTGACGCCATACCTGAGGCAATCAGTATGACTGGTGACCATGTGACTACATACCTGAGGCAAACAGTATGACTGGTGACCATGTGACTACATACCTGAGGCAAACAGTATGACTGGTGACCATGTGACTACATACCTGAGGCAGTCAGTATGACTGGTGACCATGTGACGCCATACCCGAGGCAAACAGTATGACTGGTGACCATGTGACTACATACCTGAGGCAAACAGTATGACTGGTGACCATGTGACTACATACCTGAGGCAAACAGTATGACTGGTGACCATGTGACTACATACCTGAGGCAGTATGACTGGTGACCATGTGACTACATACCTGAGGCAAACAGTATGACTGGTGATCATGTGACTACATGTGACTACATACCTGAGGCAAACAGTATGACTGGTGACCATGTGACTACATACCTGAGGCAAACAGTATGACTGGTGACCATGTGACTACATACCTGAGGCAATCAGTATGACTGGTGACCATGTGACTACATACCTGAGGCAAACAGTATGACTGGTGACCATGTGACTACATACCTGAGGCAAACAGTATGACTGGTGACCATGTGACTACATACCTGAGGCAATCAGTATGACTGGTGACCATGTGACTACATACCTGAGGCAATCAGTATGACTGGTGACCATGTGACTACATACCTGAGGCAAACAGTATGACTGGTGACCATGTGACTACATACCTGAGGCAAACAGTATGACTGGTGACCATGTGACTACATACCTGAGGCAAACAGTATGACTGGTGACCATGTGACTACATACCTGAGGCAATCAGTATGACTGGTGACCATGTGACTACATACCTGAGGCAAACAGTATGACTGGTGACCATGTGACTACATACCTGAGGCAAACAAACAGTAGTGACTGGTGACCATGTGACTACATACCTGCACATACCTGAGGGCAATGACAGTATGACTGGTGACCATGTGACTACATACCTGAGGCAAACAGTATGACTGGTGACCATGTGACTACATACCTGAGGCAAACAGTATATTCAGCCACACACTCTATGTCACAACTATCGCCAAACATCCACTATGATATACATCATACAATAACACAACATACAGCTTACAATACAAAAAATAAAATAAAAATTACATTATGAAATTGAAAATAAATTCAATTATATTGCAAGAGTTGGTCAGTTAGCCCAATAAGGGGCATCCCTGGGCGGAGATCCCTCCGGTTCATTGGATGCCTCATCCTCGTCCTCACGTTGGCCATGACGAGAGCAGTGGAGGTGTAGATTCTTTCCAAGTCCAGTGTCGTCGTGTATGCCCTAAGCTTGCTGGACTCCCCAGACAAAGGGGACGGAATGCAACTAATTGACGTCATCTTCGTCACTCACGACTGGTGATGTCATGTCTATGGTGAGTTTTGTCGCTACCTTTTTCTTTCGTCTATCTGGCCAATCGATAGATTCACGTCTGTTTAGGCGTTGTGCAAGTTTCTGAAAATGGCAGGTAATAACGAATTACTAGGTTATTTTGATAAATTACACAAACATCAATCAACAAGAAACTGACAATGCCAAGGATGATTTAAAATGAGTAATCCAAACGGAAGTTTGAATAAAAGAGAACTAAATTGAACAATCACACTTTGCACTAGTTTTCTCAAAACTCAAATTATGCAATTCATCACACTTCATTGACCGAATGAAATATCTTATTTTCTAAAGAGGACACACAATCTATACAAAATTTGCTCTGGAGTTACATGCTTCCCAGACCAGAGGTAGTAATACGTTATATATATATATATGAACATTTATTGCATTTTCTATAAAGTAATGATGATACTAGTAATAGATTTTCATCAAATTGCTATATTCAATCTCTTACAGTTCGTATTGAGCCCATTTCTGGTGTCCCCCGCCGTGATGTTGCTGGAATATTGCTTAAAGCGGCGTAAAACCAAACTCAGTCAGTCAGTCGTATTGTTGAAAGCACAAGTATATTCACCCAGTAGTGACTGTATGTTTACACCATTAAGTCTTTGAGGTGTATTTAGAAGTGAATAATGCAAGACATGAATGTTTACGGATGTCAACGTCTTTATTATGTGAAAACACAATGTTTCGGAGTGAATGCTTACACCTGACGAAGGGGTAAGCATTCACTCTGAAATATATTTTCACATAATAAAGGAGTTGACATCCATAAACCTTTCTGTCTCTACACTATTAATTGGAAATTATTTACTATTTATAATGAAAGTCACTACAGATAGGTCAAAATTACCTTCACATGTTACTGCTGACCATCCTTGATCATTTGTTATACAGTCTCCAGACTCATCATCAGCTTTGCTGAAAAAAATAAACAATAACACGTTACTTTTCTTTGCATTTCCCCATTCATTCACTCGAGTTTTAAAAAACCCCTTAAACCTGCAGCGACATTTATACCAACAAGCAAACTACAGATTTATCACTTTAGGTTATGCAATCGGTAAGTGAACGGCCTGACATAAACATCCTGATGAATGAAGTTCAGTTATCTCATGTGACATAACCTTGGAGTAATGACGGTATTGTAAAATCAAGGGGTCAGTTTGACTGCAATTTCACACAGGTGTGAAGTTAAGATTTATTTGGTCCAATTTGATATCAAATCCATTTGCAAATGTAACTTTAGTATGGTTCATTTTGTGAAAATGTATCTAGGGAAGCATAGTAATAAAATATTCAAAGTGAAATTATGTCTATGTTTCGTAGTACCATAAACACATACCTTCGGTAGGAGAGGATGATCTTTTCCTCCAGGAGTAGTCGTGACACATGTTTCCTCACAACAGCCTAAATGAATAAAACAAATCCATTAATATATAATCTATTTGCTATATTTTTCAAAATTGTAGTATATTTTTAGATAGACTTATTTTACTTCACCAACCTTAGTTCGAGCAAAACAGTTTATACAGTCATGGGACTTAAATATACGTCCGTCGGCAAAATTATCATAGACTTGCATGCTATTTTAGTGTAGCTGTGTAATTTTCATTAATTCGGTTTTCCATATTTGGTTGTCAAATTTTGCAGGTTGTTAGGAAATCATCTTGGTCACAAATACATAATTTTCCGCATTGTAGTTACATGAGCAACATATATACAACATTGCGTATTCTTTCCCCATAGACCGCCATGTTAAAAATTGCCATAACCATGACACGCACTGAATTGAAAATAAAACGGAAATTATGTGTTTGTAGCTGAGATGATTCATGACCCATGTTAAAATATGCACAACATCAAACGGATATTAAATAAATTCAAGACATATTCCTAGCTGCACCAAATTAACACGTAAGTCGAATAATGCATAGTGACGAATACCTATGGCCAGTGGCTGTAATTCGATAGATTAGCTTGTTTATCAATACAGATTTCTGTACGTAAATTAAATAATTCATTAAACGTTATTTGACAACAAAATAAATTGGTCTTACCTGACAGGGTCGTGGTACTGCGAGTTTTTCGCAGCCATTTCCATCTTTCTTTTCCAGGTAGCGAATTCTCTCTTCCAGTGCTTTGAGGGAAACTGGCCTCAGACCACAGTTACCCCCCCCTTAACTTTTACCATGACCCGGAAGTAAAATATGAGAATATAGTGCCTTGTTTAAATAGGCTGTTCTGCTTGTGCTAATTTTTTCAGGGTGACTTGTGATAGCTTAAATGAAAGGTAAGACATTGTACTTTATTGCAAAATTCTTTTGGTCCACAATCTACTCATGGTATTGACACCGGCCTTCCTTGATTTGACCCCAAGTTCAAGGCTGTCTAGTGTGTTTCGGCTCGTAACTTCCGGTGACCATTGTTTACAGTGGATACAGCAAAATTGACATGGTCGATCCAGGCTCATATTTTGCCGATTAAGTGACAAGTGGCAGGTTGGTCAGCATGCAACAGGAGAACAGCCTACGACCGATATTAATTATGGTGCACTGGCATGTCACTGTAGATAGCAAAGAAGGAAAATAATTGTGGTCTGAGGCCAACTGAGGCGGCTATGAAAATGGCGTCTCGCAAAGACTCACGGGAAAAACACTTTGTTGTTGTTTTTTACTCTAAATCTAGCATTACAGTTTGACAATATCTTTCCGCGTTTTACAACAAAATAGACATACACGATACACCTAAAATGTCAGCTGTGTGTTTTTATAATGATTTAGGTAGTCTCGGGTGGACGTGATCCGGTCGCCATTGTTTTATTTGTTTACATTGCCGACATCAAAGGGGACCGTGAAAGGTGGAAATGAGCAGATTGAATGTGAGTACCCAAAGTGACAACAGTGGGCTGTTATGGGCTTAAGGGTCTTTTCATCGGATTATGGGCACTAATTGCTCCTCCTCAGTGTCAAACATCAACGTGTAGGCCTAGAGATAAATATCCCGTTACTGGCCTCTTACGACAAGAATGGGTTATTGAAGTGCAATATTCTAACCTGGCCTTCATTGGTATTTTTCCAACCATGCGTGAACGTGGAGAAAAAGCTAGAGCAAAATATTAGGGTAGTGAGCATTTTGGTTTCAGGTGCAAGTGCGTGTGAACGCTGAGTATCAGGCATAATATAATAATAATAAATGCATATTTATAGTGCGTCTATTCCACATCCTGGGGCATGCTCAAAACGCCATGTACAGATAATTTACACGAGAGTATTTACAGCCGAGATTATAAGTAATAAACTGAGAACAGGTTTTAAGTCTGGACTTTAAAAATGTCAATTGTGTCAGAGCTTTTGATATGTGCCTGAATAACACGCGGCCTGCCTTTAGAATCCCCCACCAAATAAGCGCAGTGAAATGAAACATATTTGTATCTTTTTGCTTCAGAACATTGTTCACTTCACGGCTGTCCTTATTCTTAACCATGACGTTGCAATATTGTTGTACAAATGTGTTACACCGACTCGCTCGGTTGTGTTCCCATGACGACAGTGATCAGACTGGCCTGACATTTGAAAGGCTTCAGTGCAGTGTTTGTTTACATCACAGACATATACAATTTCATTTCATGGGGGATTTTCGGGGACGCTCACGGTGAAATGCTCGTTCTTATTTTTCACATAGAATAGGAAAGCCACCATTTTGGTTTCTCTACGATTGATTTTAGCTATCCTAAGTTGGTCATGAGCAACTTAGACTTTGAATCTTAACTTTACGATTGACTTAAATTAGGTAAGATTGGTTAGTGGAACGGTATGCCGATCGTAACGTCACGCTAAGATTGGGATTTTAGGGGTTTACGATTGGCGTAGGGCTAAGATCGGTTAGTGGAACGGCACCCTGATCGAGCTTCATGAGTCCTACTCATGAGAACTTGTGTTAGTGACAAATAGGTGATTTTTCAAAACCCTGTCAGGAGTAGGCAATATACGAAAAGATTTTTGCTGGACGTAAAACTTCATCATGTAAGTTATTTACCTTGAGCTCCAAACATGCACGTGTATTAGACATGCTTATATCATGTTCATTCTTTTCAGTTCTACACCTAGATATACTATTCCCATGTATTATAAGTTAAATTATCTAATTTTACAGTATATATTGCTAGCTTATATGTAATGTCAGCTCAATATATCTGAGTGAGTGAGTTTAGTATTACGCCGCACTCAGCAATATTCGAGCTATATGGCGGTATTTATCCAATTATACCAGTTCATCTATTTTATCATTTTATAACCATTAAAACAATTATTACATATACTTTACACTCATAGCTTTGTGTAATAATTTGTGTAATCAATTATTAAACCTCTTAGCCTTACAATGCATTGACACAAGTCACGTATAACATTTCTAAAAGAATCATTGTTTCAATTTACAGATACGTATTGTGGATCTAGGGACTTGTTGGAGATTGACAAGAGGCTTGGCTTGGTAATCATTTATAGTTACACCCTACCATGCTCCAAATTTCATTAAAGGAAATCTTAAAACAATATTTTTATTCATCAGCATTTAGTCAAAAACAAGTAAACACTAAATAGATACATAGAATAATTTTCTTTGTGAAAAATATAATCACTCAAAATGTAACAGAGCGTGGATTCCAGTGTAATTATAAGTTGATATGTTTTTCAGTTCCAAGAAGAAGACCAGTTTTCTGTCCGCACTGCCAGTCGCTTGTTTCAAGGAAACAAGGAATCCGTCTGGAATGGACGGCAGTTTCTCATCAGGTTAGTCGTCAAAGATACTTCACTTCATAGGTTTCACTTAACGACTTCAGTTTGATCTGTCCCTTTGTTATCCATCATATATCAATAATGAATATATTTAATTATTGTATATCAAATATGTAACTGTAACTGAAAGTGAATAAGTTGTGTTACACATTTTACAGTTTTTAAATTAAAGTAAAGGTCACATTAAAAAATAATATTTTTTGTTATTATATTGCTGTGAATGTTTCTTTAGAGGGTTGATAAAACTAAGAAATACCCACGATTTTTCATTCATGGGAAATGTTAGGTTTTGTATGCTTTTCTCAGTTGAGTTGGTCATTTCAATTTGAAATGAATAAGATCACATATATAATCAGGTGTTACATTCAGTGTTTAAACATGATTCGTATCTATTTAAAATATGTATGTACCGTTTTACCTATTCTTAGATTTCAATTGGCGATTTGGTAGTAGATGTTACCTTGAATATGAGTACAGTAACAGTTATACATATTACCACAATTTGCTTCAGAATACTGGGTTGGCTACTATTTTCTGGTACCAATCAATCAAATAAGTGACATGTCCAATGGAAGATACAATATACATGTATACTACAGATCTTTCCATTGTGATTGTGAAAAAAAATCTTTTGGTTACATCTACAAATTAGTCGTTCTAATTTTATAATTTCATTGTGATCAGATATACCACTGTACATGTTTTTGAATATGTATACATGTGTTACTTTGGCTGTTTTGTAGTTTTACTAAGCATTGTATGTATTGTATTTGCAGGATGATGCAGAGTCTGTGTGGGACGATGAGCATGGCAACGATGTTGTGCCAGACATCAACCAGGACTCTTCAAATTCACCCACAGATCTTAAGTAGAGCATACACCATCTGTTTGCGGTTGTGGACTGGTTCAAGCCTTGTTGTAATCAACTTTGTTATATTTCCCCTTTCTCTGTGTGGCAAAACAAATGTCTCAACTCAGGCTCTGCTTCATCTGTACCAGATCAGAGGATTGCTGTCTGCTCAGTATGAGTGCAATAGAAGCTTCATGATTGTCAGCAAGTTGCCAAGTCTTTACTATGTGAGTTTGTTAGCGTGTATATGTTAAGATACATTGAGGCAGCTTCAAATGTACACTTCATGTATATGGGCCCATGACCTTTCATACAATAAACATTTGAATTTGAATTTAAAATCTGTTTAATAAATACCACAGCAAGTATGTTATGCCTGCACTAGTGGACATCATTTCATCATATGCATAAAATGTTGTAGGGTTTAGACATATTTGTGTTTGCATATTCATACAGAAGTTGTGTTCTCCAAATGCTGAAGATTCCCTCTTGATGTGGATTCTCTCATACATACATACATACATACATACATACATACATACATACATACATACATACATACATACATACATACATACATACATACATACATACATACATACATACATACATACATACATACATACATACATACATACATACATACATACATACATACATTATTGGGTTCTGTTGAAATGTGAGCTATTCAAAATAATGAGTGAGTGAGTGAGTTATTATTTAACGTCACATCGGCAATATTTCAGCCATATCGTGACGAGAACATTTGATATTTGAAATATCAAAATAATGAAACAGATGAATCATATCAGTGACTGTGTTACTGTGTTTGTTGTTTTTCGTGTACAATGTAATAAATGGTACATTCACAAGTTATGCAGAATGGCAGTGAGTTACAAAGTCACATCGGCAGCCATATCGTGAAAGTCGTAAATGTAAATTTGTAAATGTGTACATGAAATAAAAACAAACTTATATACCTACCTGTCTTCTAAGGACAGTAAAATAACTAGTCTATCACAAATGTACACTAAAAACTGGCATGTAACCATAAACACTTTAACGGTACAGTATAAAAATGGGCTATAGATTGCCAACACCTGAAGGTTGATCAACATAGTAGGGACTACGGGAACGTACAGTACTTTTGCTTCCTGCATGGACCCTAGCTGGATTCTGTATATAGAAATGTCACTACATACCTGAGGGAAACAGTATGACCGGTGACCATGTGAGTACATACCTCAAACAATTAGTCTGACTGGTAACCATGTCACTACATACCTGAGGCAATCAGTATGACTGGTGTCCATGTGACTACATACCTGAGACAATCAGTATTACTGGTGACCATGTGACTACATACCTGAGACAATCAGTATGACTGGTGTCCATGTGACTACATACCTGAGACAATCAGTATGACTGGTGACCATGTGACTACATACCTGTGGGCAAACAATCAGTATGACTGGTGACAATGTGACTACATACCTGAGAAACCATCAGTATGACTGGTGACCATGTGACTACATACCTGAGGCATACCTGGAAACCAGTATGACTGGTGACCATGTGACTACATACCTGAGACAATCAGTATGACTGGTGACCATGTGACTACATACCTGAGACAATCAGTATGACTGGTGACAATGTGACTACATACCCTGAGACAATCAGTATGACTGGTGACCATGTGACTACATACCTGAGGCAAACAGTATGACTGGTGACCATGTGACTACATACCTGCAGCTGATACAAACAGTATGACTGGTGACCATGTGACTACATACCTGAGACAATCAGTATGACTGCAATAATCGTTGTTACCCCAAGTGTCGTTGCCATGAGGATATCTATCATCCGGCATGAGCCGACACGTCGCTCGAGGAAGCGTTCTTTTGATGCCATCTAACACAAATGTTGAACACACGCCTTGTCTTGTAAGAATACTGTAAAACAGACAATTATGCATTTTAAAACAAATCTGCACATTGAACGCAAACGAAACCGTGAATATACCTGCAAGATCTGAAAACTTACCTGTATCTCTCAGTGAAGACTACAAGAGAGTGCATGCATTCAGTGTCAAGGCTTGAGAGGAAGGTGCGCCAACAAGTAGGCTATTGTGTGCAAAACACCACCGTCTAAATGTCCCCCTGTAGCATGTATGTGACATGATGTCAACTTGGGAGCGTATTCTCCTGTTACAGCCACAGCACATTTTTTAATATGGGTGGATATGAATTCACATGAAGTGTCACTTTATCTTATGTATGTTAATATTAGTGTGGACTCCGAAATATTATATTGCGTTTCGTTTCGGTAGTGTAACGAAATGTATATTCATGTTTGTTGACATTTGCAATGTAGATATTCAGATCTTGCCTACATTACAAACCATGTAAAATATATGGTGAAAAACTCAATAAGTTGAGTGTATCCCGCCTGGAAACGTCAAATTTGGAATGTTCTCTCCATGTCACTCAAAATGCTGTATGATAGCTCTACTTAATGAAAACTTGATCGAACAACAAAATGGTGAGACGTAAGCAGCACCCGTTATTTTATGCACCCATGGCATGACGAAAATGCATTTCTGGCACAGATTTGTAATGAGATTGTTCTTGAGGTCTATCACCTCTGAAAGGACTATTTTGATAATAAAGCACCGTACTATGTTAGTACCATATACATAACTGTCTGTAGAGAGGACGAAATAATGTTATGTCAACTGGATGTACAAAGTTACAGATGGAAGACGTCAAAATTATTTTCAAAACAATATAACACATCCGTGACTGTCTACAGAACAGCTATGTATATAGCTGTAAGGGAAAGTCTGTCAGCGCTCAAAGGACAATCTGGCATTTCTTTTGTTTACATTGTTAGGAACAGGTTTGTGCTGGATTTTGCACAGAATTGTCTGTTAAGCTTTTATATACGTGCCTGGAAAACAAAGGGTGTTTCAAGCAGGCATATCATCTTTACACTGTCAACGTTGCACAATAAAACACAGGCATGTGTGTAAAAGCTTAACAAACACATCTTTGCATAATCCAACAGAAAAGATGTAAACAAAAGTGTTTTTGCATAATGCAAGCTTTCATGAATATATCAGATAAGCTGATTTATATATCACACTATAGTCAATAGGTCATGTCAACGTGGATACAGATAAATACAATAAAACCCTTTAATCATCGCAAGGAAGTTATTTATAAGATTCCGACTATGTCATCCGACTATAACCTTCGTCCTGATACACAGGACCAAAAGCCGGATAGTAAACCATTGAAATAAACGTAAATACAGTAGGAAATACATGCCATGACCGGAATTACCTATGTTTTCAGATATTTCCTAACTTCGGGCATATATTTCATATGAATCTATACCTTTGAAACATATGCTCATCGTACATTTTCGTATGCACAAGCACCTCGTTCATGTATGCCCTGACCGGATTTTAGGGATTTCCAAACATGAATTGCAAAACAGATACCCCGGTAAATACATCATCATACAGTATTTCCAATGCATTCCTTTGAATTTCAGTGGATGCTGAAATTTCCGATTTCGTTCTAAGTTTACTCGGGTTGGAAACATGTGAATATACTTAGGTGGGGGAACACATGTAAATTTTCAAATTTGCAAATATTTACACACCTTAGATATTTATGCATCATACCGGATTTCAGGGGTATGTATATGAAGGGTTAATACAAGTTCATGTTACCTGTGCTCAAGCAAGATGATCATATGTTTCCATCATGTGAATTACTTGGTTCATGTAATTTCATTTTAACAAATTTTAGTACGTTTGAAATCAACGTTCACATGACCTCAATATTCTTATCACCAAAAGAGCCTGACAAAGAAAGCAGTATTACGCAAGCTAACACGCCTTATGAAGCTGCACTCGCTCTTGCTACCAGTATCAGTTACGCCTTGTCTGTGGTGTTGGCAAATCTTGTGAGATGCATGTTTCGAGGGATTAAAAGGTTCAGTGGTGAACAAAGGGCGATGCGTTGCCCCTTGTCGTCGCAAGTGTCCCAGCTGTCCAAATAGAATAGCACTGCATCTCTCTTGGATCACAGCCAAATACACCACACGTACCAACTCGAAATTTCTTAAGTCTGTTCAGCTCGCGCATCACTACTGTAACGTTCTTTTGACAGTACAGGAATATTATTGCACTGCATGTGACCTTCCTTAATAGTCTCACAGTGCCTGAACAATGTTATTTCTCCATTCGCTCAGCCTTTGCTGTAATAACGCCATACATAAACTTTAAAGTTGTCCGCATTTGTTTCACTAACGCAAAAGTATACGATAACAAACAATGCCATATCAAATTATATATTCTGTGAGACATGAAATGAAAAATTGTTTTTATCGTGTAGCGATTATAACCGGATAGCACAGGCGGGTGCGTTCTCTGAGTACATCATAGCAGAGACCATATAATATCATATGGTCTCTGATCATAGGCATTTTGGATCTCCGTGCCTTTTGTGAAATTCGTCTTGATTGTCCTGTTTAAATTGACGATCTATAAACTCAAATTGCGAGTAAATATCGCGTAAGTATAATTTCCCTCTCGGAGAAGTCATTCTCACAAGATATATATTCCCTTGTTTGGAGAAGGTCTGTGGCTATTACGCCCCAGTGTTGCTAAACATCTTGTAGGCCTTTAGTCTGACTCAGACGCAGACCTCGCATGTTCAAGTTCAGATCTGACAGGGGCTGAAAATATCATTCCGACATGACTACAATATCTCAGTGGGTTATTGTTTTCCTAAGTAAGTGGAGTGCTTTCTACAACATTGGAGATAACTGTATCGTTGGCCTCCTGATATTCCCCCGAACGGAAGCTCTACCCATTTAGGGTACAATGTGTTACAGAACTGTAGGGAATAGTCTTAAGACTTTCTACTTTGACCAGGATTCTTCGAACTTGTAACAGTCGTTTGAGAAGATCAAAAGAGAAAAGGGTAGTGCGCGATGTATCTGACGGTCGTATATGGAGAACGTTCGAAGAACTTTATAAATACAATAATAGAAATACCGGTTATGTTTAAAACGTACCTTCAATCTGATAGATAAAAGTACATGTCATTCATCCCCACATTATATCCCTTTTATAGACACGGGACATCGTTGTTACAGGTAGGGCAAACACTTTCTTCTAAAGGTATCTGCCGGTTTCACGCTACATACATGTGTTCAGATTATCGAGAAAAATAGCGACGCAAGTTCTCCTCCATCACACCAGAGATCATATAATCTATCATATGGCCTTTGATCACACATATAATTGTATAGATACCCAGTGATTATTGATAGCGATGAAGCAGCTTATCAAAATTTACGGCCGACAGTATCATCTGCATTACTCTCTTACATAAGGTGAAATATCACAGGGTTGTCATGGTAACGATAATTTGGCATACCATTTATTGTGTTATTCTTTAATCTGCGATTAGAATTTAAATCAGTTTTGACGTGAGCATGTTAAGAAAAAAGAAGCTGTAAAACGAAATGTATTGTGATCGAACCTATAGGCCTTTGTAAAAGCGAGTTTCAAGCCACCTACATAAAAGACTGTTTTCATGATAAATATCTGCTAATCCTTCGCACGATTCCGACCATATCATGGGCATGTGTTTGTGAAACATAATCAAATAGTGATGTTACAAGGCGTCCATGCCGCGTCAACAACACATGCAAACAGGGGCGTAGCTACCATTATAAAAACAGCTCTTCTAATTCTTGCCCAAAATACCTACAAACACGTTCCATTTAAAAAGTGGAAATCCCTCTATGAATCATATTGACTACAGTATTCTTTGATTAAAGCATTACCATGTCAGTAAACAGGTTATTCTTCATATCATAACTTTCAGTGATGATTGTTTTTCCATTGACATGTATGTGGATGTTTTGTTACAGTCATGATTATATGTGAATCATCACTGAAATGCAGTTGTTTATTTTTCATTTGTTTATCATTTATTTTAGAAAAAACACCAAATACTCGATGTATGGTATTGCATCAATGCAGCAGACATGTGTAAACTATGTCCAAACATATTTGTATATGAGGAAATCACATTTCAATTACATGGTGGTAAGACTTCTGTCAGTATCCCCCTAAATTTTAACGATGAGGAAAACTTTCTTTGAGTGGCATTTTTAGAAGTAGAATATGTCTTTCAGTATGTTCAGATACAATTAACAAAACACGTTAAAACTCATCCTTATCAGATGAGGAATATATATTCAGGTGATATGATTTGACTAGAATGAAATTTAAGGGGGTATACAGGCGGAAGTCTTTCCACAATATTTTGAAGCTATTGAAATCATCAAACATCAAACGATAACTCTTCAGGTCTCAAAAAATGAAAGTTGGGCAAGCCCTCAATACCACCTAAATATAAGGCTTTGCAGCCCATAGGGCTTAGATACGAAACAATTGGCTTGCTACGCGCCTGGCAAACGCACGAGAATTGCAATACGGGCCTCTAAACCACTGATTCTCCGTGACCTGGAGACACATGTGACTGAGCGTATGTTGGGACGTAGTCTGTCATACAGGCCCTGAAGCAAATATATCCAAGCCCACGCAAGTCTACAAAATGTGGCAAGTCTAGATTTCCACAGCTTTAGGAGAAAGTATCATGGCTTCTTTTTATTATATATTGTTTTTACTATGAACTTTTTTTCTGTAAATTATGTTCATATCAGAGACTAGTTGTTAATCTAGTTCTGACGGGTAGAAGACAAAAGATGGATACTAGTGCTGTTACATTTTTTTAATTATATATAAACATTCCTCCTTGTCTCGGGATAAATGTATATTTTCCAGTTTCAACCAAATGTACATTCGGAGGATATCGAAATCTAGGTTAAGCTATTTGAATCATATTTACAATTAAAAGACCCCAAAAATTGTTTGTTGTCCAAATTTTTGGTTTTCCATATCTTGTCCCAGTCTGTATCACAGTCACAGAACGATAGTTTTTCCCCTTCCGTCTCCAGGAAAACTCACTGCAGAGTTCGGGTTATAGAGTGCCATACCAAACACCCACAGCTGCCGGGACCAACATCTCCAGTAACATTTACATCTGCCAACGCTTAATTCGCAAGTGGTTAGGCAATAAGCTAATGAGGCTAAGGGTCCTGTACCATGTTTGTGAAATATCTATGATGCCTTATATGAAGTCTATCATCTAAGCAAGTCTAGCTATGTATGGCGTTAAGTCACTGCTTGAAGAAAGGCTCCTTTAGAATTTTATTTGGTAAATATTAGTATTTCGATCATATTGGAAAATACATAGACTAACGCTTAGTGT